TAGTTTGTTCTTTTTATCGTTTTCATTGACCTTAATTCTGTGACAAAATTTTGCAACTATATATGATTGGTCCAACCTAGCTAGCAGAATAATTTATATAAATAAAAAATTAATTATGATTGATCCCCGGTCTTACTCGTTGATTCTTTTGAGAAATAATTAAGCTTAACACCGCTGTATTATACAATAATATATTCAAATTTCAAATATTTATATAGATTGGGGATTATTTGCTTTGGAGTGATTCTTGGATTTTTTTTTAATTTAAACTAATTAATCAGCGGGCTGCCTGACAAAAACCCATATTATTATTTGATTTTCAGTTAACGTAATGCTTCCTTAATTCCTTTTCGCCTTATTATAATTTAAATATCAATAATGTGAACGCTTTTTTTTATTGCAACATGGTGAAAAAGAAAGTTTTAAATAATTTATCTTTGACTTTTATTAAGAAAAATATAAATTTTAAAAATAATGGTACATAGATAACTCGGGTAATTTATTTTTAATTTATTTATAATATTTTATTATGGGAAAATTTACATTCATTTCGGAATGATCTTATTTGATTAGAACGTCGTAACAAAACTGACTAATTTTCAAACTTCACTATCTTGAAGTGCAAATGAGTCATTGTCATGGAAATTTGTATACTCTGTGGGAGAAATTTGAACCTCTCATTTATTTCAAAAGACTTGATTTTAGGCACCGTCTAGGTAGCCACATGAGTTTGACTGGATGCCACAGATTAAGGACTCAATTTATTATTATTAATATCGAATTTATATTTAATGTATTATCATTATTTAATACTCGTATCTTATTACCTAATCTTATAGTGATATTTTGTACAAAAGTGTCAAAAATTTTTATTTTTAAATTTATTTTTTAACAAAATATACAATAACATCTGATTAATTGATGGAATATAATTAAATATTATACTTCAAAAATACATGAAATATAAAATCTAATTTTTATAACAAAGTAACGAGATAAAAAAGAACTCGAGCCATTTATTTATACCGAGGGAAAGAAATTAAGATTCAACAATTCTCTTCACACTCAAAATGTTCTCATTTTTCTTCCTTTAGACCTTCATTATATTATCTAAAACTTAATTTCAAAAGGCACTTAAGGACTTGTTTTTGATGTTCCTGAAATTGTTGAAATTCGTTACTTGCAAAAAGTCAAAATTGATGAATATATGAACATAAGCAACCATTTTTTTATTTTTTATTTTTTATTTTTTTATGTTGGGTATTTCGAATAATTAAAAATTAAGTGTCCAAAATACCTTTATTTTTGTTTTTTTGTGGGGAAACTTAAAGCAAGTAGAATAGTAGAAAAGTTTATTGTGGGCTGTTTGGGTAGAAGGAAAAAACATAACCATAATCTTGAGTCGACACTCCACGTGCAGATAAGGAGGTGGAAAATTCATACATCTTGGAATGATTTGCCAAGTAACTATAAGGAGTAGAGAAAATTTGCCTTTGTTTACTCGCGACAGAAAAAGATACGTTTCATTTTAAAACATAGACTTTTGATTAATTTGAAAATTGATTAATTTTTAAGCTTTTGAATTGTATTACAACAAAAGAAAAATGGTAATAAAATTTATGACTTCGAGTAAATTAAGGCAACACGTGTGCTGTTATCATCCATATGTCTTGCACTATTTGATGAATACGTGCCTTGATTTCATCCAAAAAATATTCATGAGAAAATTTTTAGAATTTTTTTTCAAATGTTTAGCAAGATTGAAAAGTATTTCTAAAAGGTTTCCTTAATTTTGTTTGGTTTGGAAAGGATAAATTTTTCGTAAATATAAAATGTTTTACGAATTAACAGAAAAAATTACATTGATTATAGTATCAAGAAGGGCACAAATATTACCATTCTTTTATTGTGAGATCGATTTTAGTATGAATCTCTCCTAAGTAAAAGATCATATAATGTAGGTCTTTTTCTATTTGGCTTCTCTTTTTTAAAATGCTCTAACTCCAACCTTGGTAGTAGGGGTGAGTAACAATTTAAGAGCATACATGGACCTCTCTATATCAATGGATTTTAAGGTGATTTCTCCATTTGATGTCCGATTTATGATTAAAATTACGATTGATACTCTTAAGGTGGTCCTACATTCTGACCCACCCTAGACAGAAGAACTAGACTAAATATAAACTAATGAGCATTTAAGAATTAAATAAAAATAAACTATATATATAGTTAAAAATGGTAAAACTTGACCTCATAAAAGAAAAAGTTACAAAAACACACAAATAACGTTGAACATAACGTTAAAATTTTAAACATAATAAATAAATAAATAAATGAATTATAATATAAGTCGTGATGTGGATGTATGAATTTCCTCGTCGTATATATATTCATGAATTTGATTAATTATTTAAATGTAATTTACATTTGTGATAAATAAAAATTTTACTATAATTATTATTTTTAAAAAAAATAATAAAATCTAAATTTAATCTCCGATAACATCCCAAATGGTAAGATTGATTTTTGTAAAAGACAATGACTGATCCATAATTCAAAATGCTTAAAACCAAACTTATATAAATGATTCTTGATCCTGAAATATTTCAGGATCACTTCAAAATCGTCCAATCAAACCATGCTCACCCTTGCATAACCATAATCATAACCATATTATGACCATAACCATGTTCCCATCATCTCTTGATGAGACAAAAAACGTTCAAACATGTGATATAATGAAGGTAATCGATGGTTTTTTTCCCAATAAATTGGACTACTTTTTCCTAAGTTGTAGGTAATTTCCCACCGTTGTTTTCCCTTGGGAGGGAGGTACAGAGATTCCATTAAAGAAAGCAATCATCACGTAGCTTATTGCACTAGCAGTACAAACCAGATATTTCTTTTGCAAGGCTGCTAAATCAATGAATGCGATAAACATCAGGTACATTTATGGTTGGTTTATAATTCAAATCCTAAGATTCCACTCTGTTGATCCATCACATTTCCAAAACTAAGGGAGATAGAATATCTTGATATTTTAATCTGATCAATGGGTGTGATGCACTGAAATTCATAGTGGAGGAATGCCTTTATTTTTTTTTTCTTCCAAAACTTTCAGCTAAACATATAATCAAAGAATGGGTGCTTCTAGCTAGGACTCTTGACGAGGATTTGCCAGAGGTATAGCAATTCAACTTTGTCATGATGCTTACTGTTTCGGAGTGATGGGGATGTGAATCTGAATCACTGGAATAAATCTGACCTTAGCATATATGAGGTATGCTAGGTGATGCATGTGGAAATGTGGGGACTGACAATTGGACTGTCCTGCATTTGGCATGGAAGCTTTGCAAAATGAAGAATAAACCTAGCTGGTATGGTATTTTAGAATGAAAACAGAAAAAACTGGTCATAGAGGTAATGGTAGAGAATAGCAAGCGTGTTGAAAAGATTGGTCACCCGGGTCTAGATTTAGCTACTTCCTCTTCCTCTTTTGATTTTGAACCATTTTACACCATATTCTAATGATGAACAAAACCTTTGTTGAAGCCAGTTTGAGGGGATGGCTTCTTACCTTATTAGGATTCTTATAGGTGTTGTCCATATCAGCAAATCCCACAATACCACAATGGTTTCAAAATTTTGATGATGAGGATTTGCCATACCCCCACAGCACACTACATGTTGCTATTGTTTAGCCATTTATGAGTGGTGGGGGATGCCCATTTGGCAAAAAGATATGGCAAAATATCTCATCTTAGCAGATTTTAAGGATGAAAAACCATGTGAGAGAAGAGTTGGAGTAATGGGTTATTGCATTGGCACCTCTTCATTTCACCATATCTAAATCAATACAAATTAATAATTAAAACATTATTTTTTAAAAAAAAATTATATTTAATATATGATCTATATGTATTAAATTTTTCCACTATCAAAAAATTAATTGTTGTCATCTCATTAATAAGATAAAGCCTATATCATATTTCAAGGAAATGACAGAAGCATTGAGAACTAAGACACTCTCAAATCTCAAAATCATGTAGGCAATTTTGAGGTTTTAGATGTTAATGATCATCATGCCTGTCCCATACGTGGAGTCCATATTGAGTATTGACCCCATGGAATCAACGTTCGAGAAGCGCTGCCATTGACAAAGAATGAACAGGTCTTATCCTTTTTTAAGTCAGAAAACCTGCTTCAATTATTGCATATGGAATTTGAAACAGATATACTGTAATATATATATATATATATATATATATATTGCTGTTTAAATTATTAGAGACGATAGAAGAAATTTGTATAAAACGAGGATTTAGCCCAATAATATTAGTGCTTGGAATCCCTATATATCCACTGTTATTAAGACCTTCATCAGTTGTCACAGACGGCTGTAATTTACTCCAGGTACAATACAACTGTTTTGTTTCTTATTCAATGCAATTCAACTATTCAAGTCGAAGTTTAAGGCCCTAATTTTTTTCTGTTGGTTATTTAAGTAATGTTTTAATAGTCATTGATTATAAATCCATAAGTCCTTCTAGCATGATCCGAGTAAACAGTGGCTAAAGTTGGAATCACTGAATTGATCTTAAAATTTTTGAATCACAAATTGGTCGATATTATCGTAAAAGTGTTTGATTTTAAAAAAACTTAAATCATAAATTACTCGTCAAGTCACAAAGAACGGCCTTGGAAATCATCTAAATCCATGCATTAAGGGTGGGTAGTTTGTGGGTTACCCTGAACCTAGGCTCACTCCCAATTTGTTTCTATAATTAAAGTTTCGTGGAAATTTCTTCACAAAGAAGTTACAGCGAAGAAGCAAGAGGAAAACTAGTTACTTGCATTTAGTCCCAATCTTATTGTCTGTACAAAAGACTTCTTAAAGTCAAACAAAAACATCGCCTTCAAGGGCTATTGACGTGCCCCACCCCCACCCTCTTCTCTTTCTTTTTTTTTTTTTAACTGTTGAATTGGGATTTTTCCTTTATAAATACAAAGCAAACCAGCTCGATTTTGAAGGTTCAATTTTGCATTGGTTTTTCACCTTCATCGTTGCCTTTATTTTTGTTCTTCTTTTTTCATCAAGAGTAAAAGAACATGGGAACTCAAGCTCCTTCTGATAAAGATTATACCCGGAACGACAGTGTAAGTTGCTCTGAAACTCTTTTGTGCATGCACTGATTTGCCTTGCTTTTGTTTTTTGAAACATAAAGTTCATGAAAGGTTTCCGAACTAGTAGGAGGTTTGTCCTGTTAACTTTATGCTCTTGTATCTGCATGATGTACTTTTGTTCTCTTGCTCTTTGGTTTTCTGTCCGTTTATGATTTTCGTTTCTGTAATTCTGCTTCCTCAACAACCATATGATAAAAGCGTCTGATTAGTTAATTCAGCATAACTTTATGGACTCATTTTCATGAAAACATAATTCTTGAATTATTTTCTCATCATACGAACTTGGAATGGAAAACAGTTTCGACCCAAGGTTTCTCTGCCTGTGATAATTTTGGTTCTCCATCCATTATTGCCTCTCTGCAACTTTTCTCTGCATATATCTGAGATTTGGCTTAAGAAGATGATTCGGGTTCAGTTGGTTCTTTTTTTCAACACACGTGAAACCTATGGTTCATCACGAGTCACCGTGTTGTAATTTATCCATGACAGAAGACACACACTTGGAAGTTAATGGATCTTTTAACCTTAAGCTTACGGCACCTTATTTTCAACTTTGATTGCTTAGAAAGAAACCCAGAGTGAGAAGGAATTGCATTAAACGCCGACTGAAATTTAGATTATTATAGTCCCCTTTTTCCCCGGTGGTAGCGGCTGGCCATAAAGTCTTCAGTCAACACTCAACGTATACATTCATCGTTGTCACAATACTTGTTTTCTAAGTTCAAAGACAAACATCTCAGATAAAAAAAAGGTACACTACCAAACATCTCAGATAAAAAGAAAAAAAAACTTACTTTGTGCTGTAGTCTGTAGAGATCTGCGTCCTGATTATAGTAAATTTTATCAAGTGATTTACAGAAAGGATTCACATGCAAGCACATGGTTGGTTGGTTACTAATACTTTTGAGACAGACAAGCCAAAGTCTTTGACTTGTAGTTTCCTAAGAAAAAGTATGAAATACTGTGCAATGTCTAAGTCTAGTCTAGGAGTTTTACTGTATCTGAAGGCAAAGTAAAACATGTAATTTTACCCCCACAGGTAAAACTGTTGCCGTAAGGTATGGCTGGTAAAACATGTAATTTTACCCCCACAAGTAAAACTGTTGCCGCAAGGCATAGCTCACAGTTTTTTATACTGGCATATGAACGTGGATCAAAACGTGTGAAGTGGGAACCAAAATAAGTGGCCGACAACTTCAGAATGACAAGGACAAGGCAAGAGAGAGCAACTTTTCAGTATTGAATCTACTCATAAGTTGATAACTGATGTAGGGACATTTTGCCCTTGCAAAGATTAGGGAATTCCAATCACAACTTATTTTGAAATGCCCATGTCATCCACTCTTTTAGCACTTATCAGAAGCACTAGGGGATTTACTAAATGGAAAGAGAAGGAATGAAAAGTCCTATTTTGGTGGCTTTCACTAACCTCAACTTTGTCTGGTTGTCTGATTTGCTTTATTTCTCATTTTTTGTCTCTTACATGGTTCACTTTTAGCATTACCTTGAATTATGTATTTTGTCAAAAACTGATAAGAGAGATTTGTTCCTTTGCCTATCACAGTTTGAAGAAAAATTAGCAAGGCAGAAAGCAATTGATGATTGGTTGCCAATTACCTCATCAAGAAATGCAAAATGGTGGTACTCAGCTTTCCACAATGTCACTGCTATGGTTGGAGCTGGTGTCCTCAGTCTCCCCTATGCCATGTCAGAGCTTGGATGGTATGTTCTAAAATGGGAAAAAATTTTAAGTGTTTAATTATTTAATGAATTTAGAATTCCGATGTTTTAGCCAAGCAAGCGTATAGAAAATTAGATAGATTGATGGAGCACTATTATTTGGTTTCAGGGGTCCTGGCGTGGTTGTCCTAGTCCTATCATGGATTATTACCCTGTATACTCTATGGCAAATGGTTGAGATGCATGAGATGGTTCCAGGAAAACGTTTTGATAGATACCATGAACTGGGTCAATATGCCTTTGGTGAAAAACTTGGTCTCTACATTGTGGTGCCACAGCAGCTTATTGTTGAAGTTGGTGTCTGCATAGTATACATGGTTACCGGAGGCAAATCATTGAAGAAGTTCCATGACACTGTCTGCAGTACCTGCCAATCCATTAAACTTACCTATTTCATCATGATTTTTGCCTCTGTTCACTTTGTGCTGGCTCACCTTCCCAACTTCAACTCCATCTCTGGCGTCTCCTTGGCAGCGGCAGTCATGTCCTTGAGGTATATTGCACATCCTTTTATGTGCCATTTCAGATAAATTAAACAGAATCCGAAAAATTCTTACTTTGATTTTTAAATTTGATATGCTAATGCAAGTTTTTAAACGGCCATACAGTTACTCTACGATTGCTTGGGGAGCTTCAGTGGATAAGGGAGTTCAGCCAAATGTGCAATATGGCTACAAAGCAAAGACTGCAGCAGGAACAGTGTTCGACTTCTTCAGTGCCTTGGGTGATGTAGCTTTTGCCTATGCCGGGCACAATGTGGTGTTGGAGATCCAAGCAACAATCCCATCTACACCTGAGAAGCCATCAAAGGGTCCCATGTGGAGAGGTGTTATCGTTGCCTATATAGTTGTGGCCTTGTGCTACTTCCCTGTTGCTTTGATTGGGTATTGGATGTTCGGCAATGCTGTCGAGGACAACATCCTCATCTCATTGGAGAAACCAGCATGGCTCATTGCAATGGCTAACATGTTTGTTGTTATTCATGTTATTGGAAGCTACCAGGTGTGTATCAATCAATAGTGTTCGGATTTTATCATAATTTAATCCATATCACAGATAACTGATTAGGTTTTCGTTTAACTTTTGTCATGTAGATTTATGCAATGCCAGTGTTTGACATGATGGAAACTGTCCTAGTGAAGAAACTAAATTTCAGGCCTACTAGGACACTTCGATTCATTGTTCGCAATTTTTATGTCGGTAAGTAAATTCTTCACCTTTTTTCAACTTACTTGCATGTAAATCAAGGTACTGATGTTTACTAAAAAGGGGATTAGAGCTAGAGGATACTAATTATTATGCTACATCTTTATTTGCAGCATTCACAATGTTTGTTGGCATCACCTTCCCTTTCTTCGGTGGTCTTCTTGGATTCTTTGGAGGATTTGCTTTTGCACCAACAACATACTTTGTAAGCCACATTCTCTCTTCATGCCACCTTCCTTCTTACTTGAAATGTACCAATTCTATTTGAAGAGCTTTTACCCCATTATTCATTTTTTCTCTTGCTTTTTGTTCATTAGCTCCCTTGCATCATGTGGCTTGCCATCTACAAACCAAGAAAGTTCGGCTTATCTTGGTGGACTAACTGGGTATGTAAACTTGATTTAAATTTTGCCATCCTCACTGTTTCAATGTGATTCGAATCAGTGTTTAATCGGTCTTATTTGGTTTTTTTCTTTTTTTCCCAGATCTGCATTGTATTAGGTGTTGTCTTGATGGTAGTATCACCAATTGGAGGCTTGAGGCAAATCATCATTCAAGCCAAGAACTATGAATTTTACTCTTAGGTGGCGTTTGGTACATTACAATGCAATGTGATTACAGGTAATATGATTGCAAGTAATGTGATTGCAAGCAATGTAATTACAGGGAAAATAACATTACAGTGTTTGGTATGTAAGTAAAATAATGATTAAAATGCAAGGAAGATAACATTGCAGTGTTTGGTTTACAAGTACTTTAGTGGAAATGTAATGCTAATTGTCAAAATTACCCCTAATTATTAAAATATAAGTTTAATATATTTATATTTGTTATTATTAATTTTTATATAATATCATTTTTAAATATATTTTTAATATCATATATTTTATTTTTATTTATTATTATAATATTTTATATTTTATTTTTAATATATTATATTTTTTTAATTTTTATATAATATCATTTCTTAAATATATTTTTAATATCATATATTTTATTTTTATTTATTATTATAATATTTATATTTTATTTTTTATATTTATATTTATATTATTAATTTTTATATAATATCATTTCTTAAATATATTTTTAATGTCATATATTTATTTTTATTTATTATTATAATATTTTATATTTTATTTTAATATATTTATATTTATATTATTAATTTTTATATAATATCATATTTTAAATATATTTTAAATGTCATATATTTTATTTTTATTTATTATATAATTTATATTTTTTTCATTTCTTTAATATATTTTTATATTATATATTTTATTTTAATTTGTTTTATCTATATTATATAAATATTAATTTTTTATATTTTATTTTATTCTAATTTTTATTCTTATATTATATATTTATTTTAATTATAATATTATAAAATATTTTTAATAAGATAATAAAGTTGAAGGGTAAATTTGTCTTTAAGAACATTGCAGAGTGCATGTAATGTGATTGCATTGGTTTTGGACTGCACTAGTTGGTGATTTAGATTTTCCCAGAGAAAAGCCATGTGTTTCTTGTTAGATCTTGCCAAAGAAAACCCAAATTAACAGATGATCTTCAAACTGAAATGCAAATCCAGAATGACCTGGGTTGTCTTATTTTACCCCATTTTCACAACAAAATTTTCAATTTTTTCATAGCAGGCAAACCTGTTAGCAAAGCAAGAATAAGTTTATAACCATCAAGCAATGAAATCTGTCTACCAAGTACCAACTAGAATTCAGCCTCATACTGAGCAAATCAACTACTACAAAAATCCCAACATTCGAAATGGAACCAAGTTATGTTTACTCTATCTTGGATCTCCAAAGCTGAACTTACCATAAAATATTCTTTTGCTGGTGTTCTTAGAAATCACAGAATAAGCAGCAGAAACTTTTGAAACAAAATCCTAAACTTATGTTGCATAGACCTGGAAATGAAGATTTGAGAAGTCTGAGCTCAGGAAAGGTGGAACCAGGGGTGGAAACTTGATTCACTAGGCCTTAAGGGGTGATGATGAGCTTTAAGGAGCAATTGCAGTAGAAAGAAGGATGCTTTTTGTTAATCAACCGTGATTAGTGTCATAAAATCTGTATAGTTTCGATTGATGATTCAGTCTAATTACTTATCAAAAGCATAATATGACAAAATCTCAACATCCAAATGGACAAAATAAAACAAACCACCAATAAACTGATTGGCAACTGTTTGCTGCCGTCAATAAAAACCCAACCCAAGGTTTATGCTGTTGCAAGGCCGGCCATTCTTTTTCACCATCTCAATAAAATTAACCTATTGCCCATGATGTGCCAAGCCTGCAACCAAACAAAGAGAAGCAACTTCCATTCCCTTTGACAGCAAGTCTTTATCAGAAAACAAATGGATTATATATACACTATGCAAATCAAAGCATGGAAGCAAAATCCAAGTGTTCTTATCTATGGACCTAAGCTCAAATTATTAATTTGTATTTGTACCATCATATATTATGGTATGCTCTGTCCAATAATTATTCAAGAGCAATGTGAAATATGAAGCAGTGCAGCTTATCCTTGCATTGGTTACTTATACTTGAATTTTCCAATTCAGACTCATGTCTGCAAATGTGAGCATGAAACGAGTGGGGTGAAAAGTGAGGCTGTAAATGTGAATTGATGGAGTGGGTAATTAGGTAAATGTAACCTTTCTGATATTTGAAGTTGGGAGAGGAATATCTGGAGATCTTGTCAGGAAAAGCTGAAGGATGACTCTTCTAAAGATAAAAGGATATGGCCTGGAAATAGGAGATATATCTGGAAATTGGATAGTGTTTTATAAGGTTTGGGTACTGAATGTAAATATTTTGTCAACTGTTTTTGTATAGTTTCCTATGAGCCTATGACTCAGGATTTGAAGCCTCTTTTTTTCTTTGTAAATTTGAAATCAAAGGAGAGTGGGATGTGTGGACTTATAGGGTGAAATTTGTACTGTGGGGAAGGGTATTATTCTGTATGACCAACCAATGATTATTGGCATGTGGCCATAAGTGATGAAATCTTGATCTAAATTCAAGAATCAATCAAATTTGGGTTATCAAAAAATAAATAGTTAAAAAAAAAAGAGTTTATATTTGATATCCTGTGTATACATCAGATTTTGTTATTTAAAAATTAAAAAATTTAAAATTAAAAAATAAAAAAATTTTAAAAAATACTTATAAGATAAAATTAAGGATTAATAATTTTTAAAAATACATGAATAATAAATTTTTTATCTTCTCTTTCTAAATCCCTCTCAACATTTTCTTCCTTTATTTCTCTCCAACTTCATCATCTCTTTTCTTATTGTTCCTTCTTCCATTGAGAGCAAGTTTGATAAAATTGTACAATTTCAAGATCTCAAGGTAATTTTTATTTATCAACTTTAATAGTATATATTTTTGGTGATTTTTATGTTGAATTCAGGGTTACAATGTGATAAAAAATATTGTTGTTTAATAGAGAAATCAGGATCTGTTTAACTGAGTTCAGGGCACTGCCTTTTTATGGGTCTTGTGTTCATGGACCCACTTTTCACTGGGTGTTTAGACTATATTTCACTTGCAGTTGGGCAAGAAGTCTGGTCCTGGGTTACTGTTTATGTCTTTATATCATTTTTTTTCAATTTAAGTATTTTTTTTTTGCAAAAAAAAATAATCTGTACATCTCTCACTCAAAAATCTTGATTAAAAAAAATTTAAAAATTTTGATTTGAAGGTGTTGGAAATTTGAGAAAATAGATGAGCATAATTTTTTAAAGAGAGTATTTGTATTTAAAATGTTTATGTAAATATTAGATTATATTTTTTTAATCGTTGATGAACAATTTTAACTGTTAAAGAGTTAAAAAATCATCATTTTGAAACAAAATGGGTCAAAGTGATCAGAGGGTTTTTTTGATTTTACCCATATTTGGGTAGATTTGTTTCCTGATATGGTATGGAGGAAATTGAGAAGGGAAAGATTGGGTATTTCTGCATTTTATTCAAACTTGTGAGATTTAATTCCTTTTTATATTTTTCCACCAAAAAGGAATAATTGCTGTCTCTGCTAAGTCCTAGAAAAGAAAAAAAAATTATCTAACTCACTAAAATGAATCCTTTATTAATTTGCCAATTTCCCCTTAATTATTATTATTATTTTTTCATTTTTGTAGACTTAACAGGAATCATAATTTTCTTTGCTGTCCTTTTCCTGTTATGCTCCCCTCTAAATAATTTACCATGATCTTAGATGTCAATGCACAATGTATTGGGATGCATGAGGATAGTTTACCATCTTAAGACAATAGCATTTGGAAATTGATTCTTGTTTCCTTATATAAAAACATTTGCATGGGAACAAAAGGGTCACAGTCAAAAGTTCCCTCTCTAATATTTTCTGTATCTGTCTAGGCGGAGTTCACTTCACATTTGTTGTCACTTTCAAGATTTCCTTCTTTGTAACTATCAATCTATATATATGTTCTTGAGTGCTGCATCTTCTACCTCTTCCTACATAGTTCTGCAGAGCATACTTGGTAACCATGGGGACTCAAGGACCTTCTCAGGAGCAGCTCGAAACAAATACCCCGAGCACCGTAAGCCTCTCCCATCCTTCCTGCATATGTTCTTTTCCTTTGTGAATGCTTTTCTTGATCTTTTCTTCATGCAAACGGCTGAAACTCTTTTCATAATGAACAGTTTATGCATCCTTTCTTATGTGGAGGGGGTGATTACGAAAGTTGGAAACCATGTTAATCTGACAGAAGGATTTGTTGTGAATTTCAGATAGACGAAAAGCTAGCAAAGCAGAAGGACATTGATGCTTGGCTTCCAATCACTTCTTCAAGAAATGCAAAATGGTGGTACGCAGCATTCCACAATGTTACTGCTATGGTTGGTGCTGGAGTCCTCAGTCTTCCTTATGCCATGTCACATCTTGGATGGTATGTGCAACACACAACTTTTTTGCATATACTTTGATGAAAGAATGATATTTGAATAAGTTTCCTTTCTCTAATTCAGGGGTCCTGGCATTGTAATTATGATCCTGTCATGGATCATCACTCTATACACTCTCTGGCAAATGGTTGAGATGCATGAGATGGTTCCTGGGAAGAGGTTTGATCGATACCATGAGCTGGGGCAGCAAGCCTTTGGGGAGAAGCTCGGACTTTACATTGTGGTGCCCCAACAACTAATCTGTGAAGTTAGTGTTGACATAGTCTACATGGTTACTGGTGGAAAATCACTGCAGAAAATCCATAATCTAGCCTGCAAGAATGACTGCAAAGATATCAAATTAACATATTTTATCATGATATTCGCCTCTGTCCATTTTGTACTCTCCCACCTCCCTAACTTTAACTCCATCTCAGGGGTCTCTTTGGCTGCAGCAGTCATGTCTTTGAGGTAATGTTCCTTTATTATTCATCAGCTCAGTTGGTCTTTTAAGTGTGCAAAAGCCTAAGTCTAAGCCATAAAATTTAGGGATATTCTACAAATTCAAGCTATATGATGGTCATTAACCAATTGTACTCCTCTAAAAACAGTATCTTAAAAAGCTGGGATGTAAAATGTTCAGTTGTTCATGTTGTTAATGTTCAAATGTAAGTTTTATCTGATGTCAATGTTGTTATGCAGTTACTCTACCATAGCCTGGACAGCTTCCGTTGCCAAGGGTCTCCAGCCAGATGTGCAATATGGCTACAAAGCGACCACAGCACCTGGAACATTCTTTAATTTCTTGAATGCATTAGGAGATGTAGCTTTTGCCTATGCTGGACACAACGTGGTCTTGGAGATCCAAGCAACCATCCCTTCTACGCCGGAGAAGCCTTCCAAGGGGCCAATGTGGAGAGGAGTGGTCGTTGCCTATATAGTTGTGGCCTTGTGCTACTTCCCTGTTGCCTTCATCGGATACTATATGTTTGGCAACAATGTTGAGGACAACATCCTCATCTCATTGCAGAAACCAACGTGGCTTATCATTGCAGCTAACATGTTCGTTGTGATCCATGTGATTGGAAGCTATCAGGTTTGATCTGTTTCAGCTTGGTTCTGCAGGCTCACTTGAATAGACTTTTATGCTTCTGTTTCTGTAAATGCAGCTATATGCCATGCCTGTTTTTGACATGATAGAAACTTTGCTGGTCAAGAAATTTCATTTTAAACCAACTAGAACGCTTCGATTTATCACCCGCAACCTGTATGTTGGTAAGTAAAGTTAATTAACCTTTCTGGTCCAGGGTGTGTATACCATGAAATTAAAAGTTATTTGTTCTTTGTTTCAGCTGCCACCATGTTCGTAGGTATGACTTTTCCTTTCTTTGGTGGCCTTCTTGGATTCTTTGGAGGATTTGCTTATGCACCAACAACCTATTTTGTAAGTCCTTCTGGTTCAGTAGATTGCCATTTGCTAATTCTGACAAAGATGCCAAACTGATATATACCATTAATCCTTTTTCCTGTCATTTCTTCAGCTCCCTTGCATTATATGGCTTGCTATCTACAAACCAAAGAGGTTTGGGTTATCTTGGTGTATCAACTGGGTATATTTTCCAACTTAAAATCATGCTCAAGTTTCTTCCTCTTATTCTCATCTGCCTTTTGACAATAAATCTGATTTGGTTTATTTTTTTAATTTCAGATCTGCATCATACTCGGCGTCCTGTTAATGACTCTAGCACCCATTGGAGGTTTGAGGAATATCATACTTCAAGCCAAGGGTTACCATTTCTACTCTTAAATCATTTCCTGTAACGGCAATCAAGCAAGTAATTCGAATGGACAAATATATGATTCATATCAAATAAGATGGTTAGTTTTTAAGTCAGCTTGTAGCGGGAAATGGTAGCCAAAACAAGGGGTTTGTATTTAAATCATTGCTTAGCATTGGTTGGCTCTTGGGCATACATGTCTTTTGAATGGGAAAGTGGCCCCATGGAACCATCATTGTTTTCATCTTTCTTTGTGTTGATTATGGATTCGTAAGCCTAATGTGCACCACTGTTGCAGTTTTTAGTATTTGTCAATACTCGGCCATGTGAGTCTATGGCTGCTAGTTTTATAACAGAAGGATCTGACAGACAACTTGCGGTTTGTTCATGTTTGGCAGACAATCGAGCATTTCTCTAACCTTTCTATTTTATGAACAGATTCTTGAATGAATAATTTGACCCTCAGGGTGACTTTCTTCTGGACATCATTTGTCAGATGAATTCTACATTGAATCCAACCACAAACAAATTGAAGTAAACCTATTTCCCCTCTGCAGGCAAGATCCCCATACTTGATCACAATAAAAGCTTGTCACAACAAGGTGTCAGACAAGTAACAAATAAAATGCTGTTCTAGTGATGGAGCTAATCCTAGACCATTAACACATCATTAGCTGCCATTGCTCTGTTACGAGATATAAGTCAATGTCCATAGGCCAGAGGAAAGGGTAGCTAAAATGAAATATTGGACATGGGAAGCTACCTACAAGAATAGGCTGTCTGTCAACCATATGAAAATCCAACTGGCATTGCCGAATCTCATTAAAACATAGCCACCATTGTCACCCTAGACCTTGTACCGTTCAATTTAATTCTTAATAACTATTTACAAGGTTCAAGCCAAAGCTACAGATATTGGTTTGGTTCCTTCAAATTGGTTATGTATTCCGTTTGAGTTGAAACATGTTGAAAATAAAACCAAAAATTATCCAGCCAGCAGCAAGAGTGCTTAATGTCAAAGATATGAGCGAAAGTGAAAGAAAACACCGAGATTCGTGCACTATTTATTTGATTATAAAAAAAATCTAAAAGCAACAGGACACTGCACATTTAATGAGTATAATTTCAGAAAATATTCCGTTTGAGTTGTACCAAAAGTTAACTAAACCAAACATGACAATAGACTAATGTGTATAAACTATGAGAAATTCCAATTGTAAAGTAAAATATATCTACTGGTTGGCCTACTCCAACAAGACAGTAGAAAACAAACAGTTAAAGGTATAGTTGGGTGAGAGTAGAGATTGTTGTTCTCTTTAAATTATCAGACCGAACTTTAGGATGGTGATCTACAATGCCTAAGTAGTACCCTAATGCTCAAACAGATACAATGAGAGGACATCTCCAACAAGATATTTATGGTGCAGTTTTGCAGAAGAAATAAGTTTCTGAACTTATATGCTTGCTGCACTAAGAAACTACAAAAGTATTTATTTAAATGCAAAGGAATTCAATCAAAGCGAACCAAAATTCATTCTGAAAGTAATCAAATCCTTCAAACAGAGTTGAACATTCAAATAATTGCAGTAAAATGTTTGCAAAGAAAAACCAGATATACTAAAAGCATAGCTCCACAGAGATGCTTATAGTTTCAATATTATAGAAGAAAATGAGTATCTGAAATTCTCAACTTACTTGCTGGATTGACAAACTACAAAAGTAAGCATTCAAAAGCAAAAGTATTCAATGAGGAAGAACCAACAATTTCCTCTAAAAAGGTATCCATTTCATCCCATAACTTCTTCAAAGGAACAAAGTTGAACGTATGATACACATATCACAATCCTCATCATCTCCTCTGTTATTCTAATTCTTCACCTCAATTGTTAGAAAGAACAAGAAAAATAAAATTAGCTCCCCTTCCCTCCTTTTCCCCATCGAGAAGATCCTTTATTATCATAATTTCTTCTCCAATTTAGCCTTTTTCTCTTTAAACAACTCAGCCCACAAATTGGAAATCCACAGAACACTAACACCAATAGCTGTAACAACGACAAACATCCAAGAAATCCAAAGCCATCTAGGAATCACATGATCAGCTCTCCCACTTATATAAAACACTCCCATTTGGTACACAAAAAATGGACCAAAAATCCCTCTAACAACACTATAAAAGGCATAAAAATAAGGAGACAAAAAGGCGTAAACCTTTGCAGCCAACTCATCATCGTACCTCCTTGCAGCTGCCAAAGTCCAAACATTCTGGCAAAAGCTGGTGACTTCAGCTAAAACCAAAAGAGAGAGTATAGCATACGCGCCATGAGAGACCACGTGGCGGCAAGTGATGAAAACAAAGAGAGTAGCCGAATGATGGCCTATGAAAAGGACGTCTGAAGGGAAGAAGATAATGTAGTGAAGGAGATCTGTAAGAAAATAAGCAATGCTATAATCCAAAACTAAATTCTGGGTTTTTGTGTTTGATGAGGAAAAGCCACGGTTTTGGTCTGAAAAGATTGCAAAAGCGGCTAAGAAAACAGCTGGGGTGCCGTGGAAAAGAGAGATTAAGCAGGAACAAGCTTCAGGACGGATCTTGGGACTCCAGCTTCGGAAAACAAAGAAGTAAGCAACGAAATATATCATCAAAAACATGGACAAAAACAAAGGGAGATTTGGGATTGGGAAGGAAAGGGTAGTATCCATTGAAAGTTTGTCTCTTTGCTTTTTCCCTTTCTTTTTCAGGGTTGGACTGGAGAAGCCCGATGAAATTTATAGGAATTGTGGCGTTGGGATGGGTTGATTTTGGGATGTTTTGGTGGGTTCTGGTAAACTGGGAGAAAAAGGGCGTGCTTTTCGAAATGCTCTAAAGAAAAAGGCTGCCAGAAGACTGAAAAGGAAAGGGTACACGTTTTTAAGAAATCAATCACTGTTTCATGATGGTTACAGAGACACAGTACGATTTTGGCCGCGTCTGTTATCAGACTCTACTTAGATTTACCGTACCTGGTTCCAAAGTATGTTTCTTTGCCTTTTTATGTTAGCTACAACGGAGCTGGAGGTGGAGGTGGAGGTGAAGAAGTATGGTCGGCAGGGAAATCTAGTTGATCAGGAAGTCTGGTTTCTCAAGTATTTGGTTTTCAATGGGATTGTATGTGCTTACGCTTATGAACTTATGATACACTGAACGAATTTCAACCTCAGTGATTACATGACTCAGTAAGTATTGGTCATGAGTTTTAAGGGTACCAACATTCAAAAAATTAGATCATCATTGGGTTAAATTTTATATGACAATTGTATTGTTCAATATAAAGTTGTGGTCAGCTTCTCGTAGTTTGTTTTATTTATGGTCCAAGTTTTTGAGTTAATCAATAGACAAACCAGCCTTTGACTTGGCCAACTTTTTTTCTAATATAAAAGATAAATATTACCATTGTAAAAATGGTTGAAAGAATACAAGGCAGATATTTTGATACTAATATTCTAGCTTAGATAACCACATTATAGCACATCACTATCACGTTCACACTACGACGTCCTTGAACCGAAACTTATCTTCTGAAACCAAGTTTGGGCCTTACTTGGGAACTCTGGTAATGGACATTGAACCCAAAAACCAAATGACGTCGGTAGACTGATGGAAAATGATAACATGGACAAGCCTCGGTAAGCCATCTTCACCCTCGCTAAAACATCCAACACCAAGATGAGATTATAACGCTTCTTCCTGTATTTTGTTGTAATTGCCTCCAATAGTTTAAAGCTCCCAAAAACCAAGCCCTTGCGCCCTCTTGCATTATATTTCAGGAGGGACTTTTATCCCCTGGCAAGATTTTTCCAGGATCAAGATATTCACTATTCTCTTCTTTTTCTCCTCAACTAGTTTCGAAATACACAAGCAGAGTTCAATCTATTTCTCCCTCCTCCACATCATTTACAGGATTTGGAATACTAGGAGGCTCACCTTCTTCCTCCTCTTCATCCTGCTTCATGTACAAACCCAGTTGCTCCAACGGGTTGCTGCTCCCAAACTTGAAACTACCAAAGCCATCCTGAGAGTGATCTGGGCTTGTCTCATCCACTGAACTTGGCAAATGCTCGACAGGGGCAGCTCTAAGCATTTCTAAGTCTTCAAGGAACCTAGAATTCTCATTGATTTCAACAGTCTTTTCCATCTACAAAACACCAGAAAGTGGATATTAAGTACAGAAAAGAGGGCCATTATCAAAATGTCAATACATTGCACTCTTACCTTTAGCAATGCCTGCCGTGCTGCTTCTCTCTCAAGCTCCCTCTTCCGTCTAGCCTCAGCTGCAGCTTCGGCTTCAGCTCGTCTTCGAGCATCTTCAGCAGCCTTGGCTTCTGCTTGCAACCGTGCCTTTTCTGGTCGACATTAATAAAAATTGTTCCTTAGACATTTAAAATATAAATACACAAATTTGTCCATTTCAAAGACATTATTAACTTGTGCAAGATGCGTGTTGACAACCCAAAGACACTAGATTAAAGTTCAAACCTTTCTTCTTCTGCTGCTCAAGTTCCTCTCTCTCTCGACGCAATTTCTCAGGATCCCCCTTGTCACCCTGATCCAGAGTCAAAAACACTTAGAAAAGGTACAGGTCTACAGTAAGTTTCAGTGACCGATGTTAATAACTACCTGTGTAAGTGTCTTCTCTCGAGCTTTTAGAATAGTATCAGCAAATCGATTCTTCAATAAAGCAGCCCTGTAAAGTTTCTCAGGAGAAATCTGTCTCTCGGTTGGAGCGCTGTCCCCTGGATTTTTAATGGGATAGACAGTGAGACACAGCTTTAAATCAAAAAACAGATTTTATTTTTCCTTCTACAATCGTCATTGATCTTACCATCTTGACAACTATCCGACTCAACAGAACTTGGCTTTGGCTGAGAAGTCTGCTCAAGCTGATCCAACCCACTAACACATTCTGCATGAAATGATTTATTAACAAATCTTACAGGTAAAGCAGCATTTACTATTTCATGGCTTTGCCATTCAAGCAAGAAAAGAAGTATAAGAACATTTATCTCTTCATACACATGAAACTACAAATAATATCAATTTAAACACTCACGATTCCTATCAAGAGGATTGTCGACACTTGTCTTTTCATCTAATTGAGCTCCAGAATCTACAGCCTCCAGCACCTGAAGGAGAATGCAACGTAAGATACTAGTTAAAAGTAATCTAGTCCACATTAAACCCCCCTTTGAGACCAGGTCAAACTTTAAAGTTATCAAACACACAATTATAAGGTCAAAGAGCTCAAAGTCTTATATTATTTAAGCCAAATAGAACCAGCACACACCTTCAGTGCATCCACAGGACTTGAAACTTTAGCACCATCAGATTCACTATCAGAACTGCTAGAGTCTGAATCTGCAAAGCACACATAAGAAAGCAGTCATGGAAATGGCATCTAACAACACAAGACCTGCTTGCATTGAACAAAAGTTGGGAAAAAGATAACTAGTACCCACCGGAAAAACCTAAGAAATCAACTTAAATAATACTACCAGTACCAAGAAAAAAAAAAGAGATGGATATATACAGGCAATTAGTTTTGTTAACGGATCACAGTCCTGATATGATATTGATGCCTCTCAACTAAGGTGGAAGTGGAGTAAAATGTGTAAACTTGAGAAATAAACAAAGCTGAAATACAACTGCTAGTAACAACACATGGACTCCAGAACTGTAATTACCACTAAAACTATCCACCTGACATTATAAGGACTTTACCATGCAGGGGGTCAAATTAGAGTTATTGTCTTATCCAAGTTTCTATATCATTAACCAGTTGATAACGAGCAGCCAAAAGTGACTACATTAGCAGGAATGGTATCAAAGCACAAACATAAAGAACCACATTCCTTTTCCATGCGGTATTCAAAAGTCTAATTTTAGTGCACTATTAAGAAGCAAACCTACCATATGTAGGCTAAAGTGGAAGGTATGAGCTGGCATGGAAAACTGATAAATTGGATCCAAAAAACAAATGTAGGGAACTGGAGATTCATCAATTAATTAGAAATGCATGATGCATACAAAATGGAAATGAGAGGAAAATGCAATTACCTCTGGAGCTGCCTGAACTAACAGACTTTGTGCTTCTATGGCCTGTATCCTTCTCTATCTCCACAGGTGGATAGCTTGACACAGGAGGCTCATTTCCCCCAATGTCAACATCCTCATCAGCTTGGTCATTCCCTACAAAGGCAAAAGACTTACAGAAAAGTCAGAAGGAAGTCTCCAAACGTCGCCCAGAAGGTAGGATATTGGGCACAAGGATTTGAAGATAACCTTTGTCTTGTTGCATGGATGAATTACTCAGTCCAGATTCATTCAACAGCTGCATCAGAAAATTTTCCCAAAAAGAAATACAGGAATAAATAATTTTTAGAAGTGGATACCACTTGGCCGATATATTTTTCTTTGAAGCATCAAAAGCAAGCAATAGTACTGATTTTTCAGCCTTTATACAGTGAGGATACATACCTCAATTTCACAAGGTTCAGCTCTACACTGATTTTTCTGTTTCTCTTGCAAATGGTCATCTAAAAGCTTCCGCAATGTGAACAAGGTATCATCACTGAGGTCATCAATATCAATCTCAATTTCTTCCTCTCCAGATTCCCTTCCATTTGAACTGTGCTCTCTCAAGAAATCAATGATATGCATAGGCATTTCAGCTAGTAAAGATTCCAGTTCTCTGCCTAGATTGTGCTTTTCCTCAGCTGTCATTCTCTTTACAGGCTCTGGTATAATTTCTTGGGTAACTGAGGTTGTCTTCCTCTTTTTTGCAGGAGGCATTGTCTTAGAAGATTCTATGTTGTCAGCAGGAGCTTTGCTTTGTACCAACTGGCCACCAGTTACTGGTAACTTCTTCTCGATATTTTTCCACCTCACTTCAAAAAACTTGTTAAGGGTATCAGCCATAATATGGACATCATTTCCAGGGGGATTATAGGTCATTGCATTGCTGAAAGTAAGCCTCACATCAGTGTGAAACTCCATGGGGCTTGCATATGCACCTGAAGTGATCTTCTTTTTAATTGTTCCTAGATCCATTGGTTGCTTTATAACATTAAAGTAGTCTGGAATATTCAACTTCACTACATCAACAGGTTGGTTGAAGACCCACCCATACTGATGGCCCATCAATCGTTTTAGTAAACCCTCACACTGCTTCATCAGGATAATATTTGCGGTATTGGGAGCTGAAGCATGCTTTGCAGACTCAAATTTTCCTGAAGAACCCCGATTCCATCCGCGTCCTTTTCCATTCAAAGGATTCCCTTTCTTGCCTGGCCCAGACGCCATCATCGATGATTTCTGAAAATCCTGTACATGAGGTAGAATTTGCCCATTGCTACAACTAAGAATATCACTGGAAGATGACATGGTAACACCATTTGTCCTTTGCAACTCAACTTTCTTCTGAAGCATTCGTATCTGCTCCAATTCATGGCTCAACCTATGTATCAAATCCTTTCTTTCAGACTGTGACATGTTTGACAGGGAAAGCACTTGTATAGGGGCACCAAAAGTGTCACGTTTATCAGGGTTCAAACTGATGCATTTTCTCGTTGGGGCACTTGAATCTTCTGAAGCAGTAATTTCAGTATCAATTCGTCCTGAGCTACCAGATCCCTCTGATTCACCAGGTGGCTCATATGGCCCACGATAATACCCTCCCGAGAACCTATCACTCTTTGCCAACATCTTAGCCAAAACTTTATCTGGGTACCCTGTTTTACTTCCCTTTAATTCACAGCAAAGGAGCTGCCGGTTTAATCACCATACTCTGCATACATCAAACCATGGGAGCAAAATTATCCCATCGGATTTCTAGAGTAACTTTATATGCCACCCTTTGAATACAACTATTAAAGTAAACTTAGGTAAAAGTTATAAGCAAATTTAGATCAAGTCTAATGGGCATTTACCCTAATCTAGAGATCTTTAACCATTTTGTTCAAATCTTTAAAACTACCCATCTTTGGAAGGACCCAAATTCACCAGATTAAACCCCAGAGAACATTAAGAGTCCAAATTCTCCCATTCCACACCGAACATACCCAGATTCAAACCTTTTCTAACAATGCAAAAGAAGTTAATTTGCATGGTAATTAATTGAACTCATTTATAGCTGAAATAAATCAGCCCTTACATGCATTTACCCAAATCCTGCAACTTTTAACCCTTTTGTTCACTTACTTTAAACTACCTGCAAAAACCCAAATTCACCATATTAAACCTATAAACACCCCAAAAAAAGAACGCACAATTCACATATACTCAATTCCAATTATGCATGAAAAAATTATAATTGCAATATAAAGAGAAAAGCTCAACTGATTCATACTTGAAAATTTATAGTATCATTTACTAGTTCAAAGCTCAAATCTTTACACCAGAAGAAATTTGATACAAAAAAACCCTAACCCAATATCAAACCCCCGCCCCTCCAAAAAAAAAAAAAAACCACCCAAACCCGGATCCAAAAGAACAAATTCTAAAACCCAAGAATAACCCAATAACAATTACCAGTCTTCCACTGCTCCTTCGCTGTCCCAGTGTTCCACGAATCTCGAAAACCCTTTCTTCAATTCCCTACTCTTTTCGGCGACTAAGTAAAAGAAATAAACAAAAATAATCAACAAAAACCCTAGATCAAGAAACCCCAGGGCAATTAATGATTAATATTTGTAAAAATAAAAACAATTAATCTTTTATTGGAATTTTTGAAAAATTTGGATCGCTAAAACTTATTAGCGAGCTATATCGAGAGATGAGAGAGAACAGTGAAAAGAGCTGGCTTTTGAAAGTTCTCTCTCTACTTTAAAAGGGCTTTCGATTACTTTCGATGAATCATGGCCGTTGGATTCCGCATGAAGAGTGATCGGACGGTGAAATTTATCTTAGATCTCAGCCGTCCGTTTTTGGCGTGCTGATTTTAGGACAATTAATCTGTCTTGTTTTTGTCTTTATCGAGTCGATTAAGTAACTAATAACGCGGGATTTCAACGACGGGTGATACAGGTACAGCTGGGGAGGGAAGTGACGTCACGGTTCTATCTTATTGGAGGAATTTTGGATGGCGAGGCCAAATTGATGACGTGGTGGAATGGTATTGGATAATTTTAGGAGAGTACACTGAACGCTGGCTTGACTTTCATGGTCTTCGGAAGGTACCAGAGAAATCAATCAATTACCGTTTGCAGCATTTAATGAAAGGCAGCGACTTGAGGTACGTATTGATAAGATGCCTGTGGTCTATGGTAAGAAGCAATGACCCTTATGATGTTTGAATTCTATTGGTTTTTTTCTTCAAATGGAATATGACAAATACCAAAAAGATTTTATAGATATTTTCTAACGTGATATTTATAATCATCCAATATTATCATCTCATTAATAAATAAATTTAAAAATTTTAAATTTAAAAAATAAATATTAATAATTTTAAAATATATATTTTAAAAATTTAAAATTTTATTTTTATATATTTTATTTAATAATATTTTATAATTAAATAATAATTTATATATCGCATATTTCATATAAGTAAAAGATGTGATAGATTTTAAATTTAGAAATAATTAATATATTTTTGAGTTAAAAATATGTACTTGTAATAAATAATTTCAAAATTTAATAAATTTTTCATTGATATGAGACCTCTATAAAATATATTAAAATCAAAGTAAGGATTCATTTGAAATATTAAAATCGAAATAGGTTCAAATCAAAATAGGTTCTTCTCTTATATAGTTAAAAAAAGATAATATAATAAGTGTTGTACAACTGAATAGGAGAGAACTCATGAATCTTAAACAAAAAATGAGATAAATGTTATGTTTATAATTATGAGTCAATGCAGTAAATATAAATGCTTAATGTATTGAAGTTATTGCACTCTATGAAAATACTAAATAGCATTAAATGAAAAAACATCTTTTAAAATGAAATTTTAATAAATTTTAAGGAGCACCTGTAAATGTCTCTTCAACCAACCTTATAAGAATTTATTAAAGTTAAATAAATTTTTAATTTGAAATTGTATAAAAAAATTATTAAATATAATTTTAAAAATTAAAATAAAAAAATAATTCATTAATTACAAATTGATAGTGTTTAATATAAAGTTTGTGAGAGCACATTTTTTACAATATGCTCAATTAAATTACATTACAGTATTTATTTTAAAATAAATTACAATCCAAAACTAATACAATTAGATTGCATTGTACTATTGTAATGTTATTAAAGATATTTTTATCTTTCAACTTTTTTACTTTGTTAAAATATTTTGTAATGTTATAATTTGTTTGTTTATATATAAATTTTGATAGATGTCTTTTTATTATTCATAGTAATTATGGTAACTGTTAATAGAATTTAAGTTATATTTTAAAGAAAAAAATAAAATAAAATATATAATATAAAAATTTATATTAAAAAATAAAAATAAAATATATAAAATTGTAATAAAAAATAAAAAATGCATGACATTAAAAATATATTTAAGAGATCATGTTATATAAAACTTAATAATAAAAAATACAAGTATATTAAATTTATATTTTAATTAATAAAGATAATTTTAAAAATTAATATTATAATTTCAATAATATAATTTTTTTACATTTAATTATTACTTTACTTATATATTAAATACTGTAATGTTATCATTTCTACAAACATATTACTTACATTTACATTACCTATAATTATATTACATTGTAAAGTACTAAATGCTACTATCTTTATATGAATACTAACTTAACAATTTTAAATTTTTAACATTTTCCTCTCTTTTTTTAATTTAAATAAATATTAGTCATTTATTTTTGTAAACCCGTAACCATAACAAAGAACTCAACGTCAATTTCTATTGGACGGTCATTCCAAGTGGGCTAGAGACCCTGGTCATTCCACTGAGTCCTTTGCCAATTTTTTGGGCCTAAATTTCAGCCCAATATTTAATAATTAAAAATTCAGCCCCCTCCAACACCAATCATCTAAGTGAGCTCAAAACTTGGGTATCCCATTTGAGTTCTCCAACCATTATTATAAGATATTATTTCCTAAATATATAAAATTAAATATTTTAAATTTTTTTAAAATAAATATTTTTAAAATTATAACTATTTATATTTTAAAATTTTTAATTATTAAATTTATTTTATTAACAAAGTGATAATATGTAGAATTTATACATGAATTTTTTTTTATACAATTGGAAGAGGAGATTCGACCTTTACTCTTTAGACAGAAGGATAATATACCAACTAATGAATCAAATGTTTGAGTGTTAGAATTTATACACTAATAATATATCAAATATAATTTTTTTTTCTTTTTATACTTAAATTCCATTATCAACTTTAACAAATGTTAGTCTTACACAATCCTGTCATAACAATAAAACATCTCATGAAAATTAAGTCACTGTTGAAGTGATTGGGAGTTTTGAATTATTGGCATGGCCTGCTTATCCATCCTTATTGGATTAATAGTTTGGACACTATGACATAAAGGCAATTTTTTTTAAAAAAAAAAATTTGTAAGCGACACAAGCGGCAAACGAAGTGAAACCAATCTAATTAGTTGGTACCAACACACTTTGGTTGCCAAATGAAAATTGAAAGAGATAGTGATGAAAACAACAACAATGATGCTACTACCAAAAAAAATAAGAGAGAAAGAAAGAAGCAAAAACGGAACCCAATTGAGTTAATATTAAAAGTAACTATTAATTGGTATGAATTGAAATAATTGATTGAAATCAATTGAATTTGAATAATTTAGTTCGATTCGATTTTTTGATTTTGATATTAATTTGATTAAAAATATATGATTTATTCAATTGTTTCCATAGATTTTCAATACCTAAATTTTATAAATGAACTAATAAAAAAATTGACTATTAATATTATATTTTAAAATATAAATATTATTAACATATTTATATATTTTTTATCTTATAAATTTAAATATAATAAAAATATTATTAATTTTTTAAATATAATATTAAAACTGATTGAGTTTATCAATATTCTCTCTCATTAATGTCCAAGGCCCCAATGGACTTATTCATTTATTAAAACCAATATTTCCATCTATAAACAAAATAGAAAATAAATAAGAAAACTACTTATCAATTAAATTTATTCAAGACGACGCATCATTTGAATGGAAGTTTTGTAATTTTAATTAAATTAAAATTTTTATTTTTAAATTAAAAAATATCGATAAAAATGAAAAAATAAACCTTCGTCCCATCCCATGTGTATTTTTGAAATTAATCCTCTTACATTTGATTTGCCAATGCATACAAAAAAATTTCAAACACATTTAGTAACAATTTTGGTGTATAATTTTATGTTTTTGTCCATACTGCAACTTTTGTCATTTAGCTGTTAATTTTTGTACTAACAAATTTAGCAACAAATGGCAGAATATCCTTTGATCATGGCATGTTTGACCCTAAAAACAAAGTAGGACAGAGACATGTCCAATTTCTCGACTCTCATTGGACGACATCGCTGCTAAATCACAGGACATGGGGTGGACCGCCTTCTGAACCCCTTATTTATATCCAATCGGGTCCCTCCACGTCACATCACAAATCTATCCCAAGATCCGCCCTTCTATCGCACCCTCCACGCGTCCTCCTTGGTTCCATCATCAGCTCCAGCCGTTCTCTCCGTACCCCACTCTCAACTCCGCGCGTGCCGGAAATTCAATTACATAATTCAGTTTGTTATACCGTTCGAGTATGATGTACTAAAAGTACTGTAAAAACTATTCCACTCACTTTGTTTTAATTAACTCTTACTTCACTAAAAGATTTAAAAAATAATAATTTCACCCTAAAACGGCTATAATTTTGAAGAAAAATAAAAGAAGGTAAAATGAAGAAAAGCTATAGGAATGATAATAAATTAAATAATATAGATATTTTAATGATTTTATAAAATTTGTTATTGATATTTGAAATTTGAGATAAAATATTTATTTTTAATATTAATTAATTCAAAATAAATTAAAAAAATGCTCTTGCTAATGAACTCTTATTTTCAATTTTTCAAATTAAATTAGATCAAACTTTAAATAAATTACTAACACATGGTTGGAATTGTGTCAGCGTTGTAGCAAAGTGCTTCAATTACCTTTTTTGGCCCAAGCTTTGTGACGTAAGTTGTAAGCATTCATTAATTCTTTGAAAAAAATCAACGTTTGCATTTACGCGCTTCAAGTGCAAGAAAAGTGAATATGACGGTCAACTGCACTTAGTCCTTTAACAAATGACAAAACACCACGTGTAACTTAATCTGGAACCTACCCATAAATTTTCTCCACATAAAAAAAAAAACACCAAAGGCCAAGAAAAAAAAGCCACTCCACTTCAAACAGAACATTTAGGCCAACTCCCCAGGTACGGCCACGTGTGTCATACTTTTACGGAATTTCGAACACGCCCTCATTTCCCATTGGCCAGCACCATGGGCCAATCACAGGCTCCGGACACGCCGATACAGGTAACTTTTTTTTCTCTTCCGGGGCCCATTTGGTTTTAACCAATCAAGTCTCGTCACTGTTCGAGTTGTTGCCCCAGGACACGTGGCGTTGTCAGACGTTGGCCACGGTTGCTGCCGCTATGATTATCGCTTCTGCTCCGGTAGCCCCTTAGATGAAAAAACAAAAATACCACAAGTGAAAAAAAGAGCCGGATAGAAAATAGAAACAAAACCCAGAGAAAATCTGAGAGTAAAGGAAGAGAGAGGGGTTGTTTGGGTTTTTTGAAGGAGAAATGAACGGTGGAGATCCTTGGAGGATGCTAAAATGCGCTGCGGGTGTACAAGATAAGACGATAATCAACCAGATGATGCTAAGATTCCGGCCGATTGCTCCCAAACCCGTGACCGGAGACTCAGTTTCTGCGGAGTCTATGTTTAGTAGCAAGAACTTGCTTGTTAGTAGCAAGAGAGCAAAGAGAAAATACGTGAGGGTGTGTAAGAAAAATAATAGAAAGAGACGAATCTTAGATGAAGTTAAAGATGTTGACGATGGAAAAAATAATTCTGTTACTCTACAGTTGATGCCAGAGAAAGCTGATCTAGAGAAATTAACGGTTGTTGAAAGATCATTGGGTGTTGATCTGGATCGAATGGTAGGAAATAATTATCATTTTCAGGATCCACCATCGCCGTGCTTTAAGTTGAAGAAAATGGTCACAGATAACGTGGCGATGATGGGTTTGTCCGATCAGACAGCGGTGATAACCTCCCCGAGGAGACGGTTGACGGTGGTGGAGTCGTGGGTGACGGTGGAGAGCGTGACAGACACTTGCATGGACGAAGGAGAGATGGCGAACTGTACGGACGTGGAGAAAATGAAGTATCTTGAGAACGACACGTGTCCCGGGTTCGTATCGGATGGGTTGAACTGGGTTCTCTGGGTGAACCGAGCTTACAAAAACGCCGTAGCGCCGGCTCGACATGACTCCGATGGGGAGCCGTCCGAAACCGCCGTGGGGTTGGTGGTGAAAGACGGCTGCATGCTCCCGCTCGGTGCATTTTCCTGTCGTGTACGGTTACAGTACTGGGATGAAAAGGGCAAGAAGTACTCGAAAATGGTTCCCTGCGACGTGTGGAAGATGCGCTCCGGTGGGTTTGCATGGAGGCTCGATGTCAAGGCTGCTCTCAGCTTGGGACTCTGAAGATTATTCGAAATTTTCCTTCGGAAATCCAATGAAAAGCATTTCCATGTTTTGCAGGTAAATTAAAGTTCTTGTCTGCGTAGTAATTTGTAAAGAAACCTAGACAAGAAAGCACAGCGCAATGGTACATATGCTATTGGTTGCTTAAAAATAACTAAAAATGTGCAGCTTTTGTTTTGTATGTGTTGGATAGTTCTAAAGATTAGATTAGAGGATGGAGGAGATTTATAATGCATAAGGAGAAGCATATAAAGAGATAAACTCACACACAAACAATTGCAACGTGTTAGGTTTTTATTCAACTAACGATTAAATTTCTAACACAGATATGTCTAAAATATTTTTAATTTAACCCATTTATAGCTTTTTCGTCATTTTAATTAACTTTAAATTAAATATTTGTTTTAAAATTTTAACATTATACGTTCAATTTTATTGATAAATAGTTTTTTGAATCAGTTTTATTGAAAAATAATTATTCAAATTGTACTTGAATTGTTAATCGCCAAACACACACACAGAGCTTATTGAATAGTTTAATGTCCCACATTTTATAGACATGTGATGAAAGGGGTGGGAGATGTTAAAAGTCTATAGTAAATATTAAGCCATTGGAGTAAAGCATGAGAGCTGGAAAAATAAGATTGCTGCAAATATAATAATTGTAAGCTGAAATTTGTATCTCAAGATTTAAGGTTTCCATTATAGACTTGTAGGGGTAACAATTAGTGACATAGTGGATGATGTTAGAGTTATTTTTTACTGTAAACATACACTTGGTTCAATATATAGGACTGTGTAATAATCAGCTAATCGACGTATTGTCATGAACATGATTCATAACTTGAAATGTCTATCTCAATTGAAATTGCATGCCATCATAAAAGATGATTGAAGTTAAGAATAGCATAAATATAGTACACCAAGACTTGTATTTCTCTTTATCATGATTTAAAAAGTTATAAAATAAAAAAAACGAAAAATATTGAAAGAATCATAAGAATTAAAAATTAAAAATTAATAAAGAAAACCTAAAAAACCAAAATAGTTTTATGTATTACCCTTAAAAATAATATATCTAATTTTATAATTAACAAATTCATTGAGGAAATAGATTGATGATTGTAATAAGATTTAAGTATTTAAATATATTCATACTGAAAAAAATCTTATATAGAAGAAAACAACTTTAAAATATACAAAAAATTATATGGAAAAATTGTGTTATGTAAACTTCAAGTGCACCTTTTCAGTACTTCAACTACACAAATAAAAATCTTATATAATACATGGTATTTTATGATTTTTTTTCTTGATTAATATTTTATGGATATATATATATTTTTTCTGAATTTGTATCTAGTGAATAATTTTTAATTTTATAAAAATTAATAATGATTTTTATTGAAGAAAATTATTAAAATAATATCTTCAATTACATTACGTATTAATGATTACAAAGTGAAAAGTAAATTTTAATATTAATTAAACAAAAATAGGATACTCTTAATAAAAAAGTACGTTACTTTAAGTTGAAATTGATCCTAGATACTGGTGCACGAAAGCTGTCTCCACCAATCATACAACTCCGAAGAGGCATTCCTTATTTTTATTCCGTAAGAGTTAATCCAGAAATAAGCACGTGGCAGCAGCAGAGGACCCAATCCCATCAAAGAAACACAAGGAACCCCCACTTTAAAATCGGATGACGTCACAAAACTCCACCCTTAGGATCCACATCTTTATCGAATCAGCCACGCGTCCCTCCTTCGAACCGTCATGTTCCGTTACATTAAATCAACTCCCCCACGCGCCATTTGGTACGTTTCCATCTCTCATTATGTCACCTTTTCTTTTTTTGGGAAGTTTGGTAAGATAAACGGACAAAAATCTTATCTTCTTGTTTAGAGGCATGCTTTAATATCTTTTTATAATTTAAAAATTATTTTTGCTGTTAAAATTTAAATTTTAACAATTAAAATATTTAATTAATAAATATAAAATTAAACGGAAAAATTATGAAAAAATATAAAACAAAAATACGAAGATGAGGAAATTTTTTCATAAGACGCAACAAATGAAGTGATTCCACGTAAGTATTTATCATGTTACATTTTAAGCATCTTTGTAAGTTAAGGTCCACGAGAGAGGTGGCGCGTGGGAGAACGTGACATTTGAAAACGTAACTAAATTAATGGGTGGAGTGCTAATGAACAAAGACCACGTGTGCACTCTCTGGAACCTCCCTCGAAAGCCTTTTGTGCTCTTTTCCACTTCATGTCAACAGTAGAACTCTGCTCTGGAGACCATGCCCACGTGTCCCCTCTCTTTCGGCAGTGCTGAACACAAGCCTTCTTCTCATTCGTAGTCCTCGTGGGCCCATCTCCAACGCTCGGTCACACCATTCGATCTCTTCACTTTTCCCCTGGGCCCCGCCCCTAAACTTTCCTCCAATCAATTGCGTACACTATTCCCTTGTTACCCTAACCACGTGTTACTTCTCTGTTAATTTGCCGCAATGATTATCGCTTCTCATAAACTAACATTCACCAAAAAAATCGCCGGTTTAAAAGAGAAAAGATTGAGATTTTGAAGAGAGAAGAAGGTAAGGGAAGCTCCGATTTTTCTGGCGTTGGTTATAGCGGCGGCGGAGAGAGATGAACGGTGGTGAGAAATGGAGTATGCTAAGCTACCCAGGGGTTCACAAGATAAGACGGTCATCAATCGGATAATGTTAAGATTCCGGCCTATAGCTCCAAAACCGGTGGCCGGAGAAACACGTTCCGGTGGGGATCAGTGTGATAACAAAAACCTGTTGCTTTCCAAGCCAAGAGCTAAACGAAAGTACGTTAGGGTTCGAAAGAATAATATCAACAGAAAGAAAAGATCATCTTCAGATCATCTTCATCATGAAGAGCTTTCAAAGGATCCTGAAAGGATCGTTACTCTGCAGTTATTACCAGAGAAAACCGAAGCAAATGGATCGATTATCAAACAAAACGATGCAGTTTTGGAGGAAAATCAAGGTACACCTTTGTTGTTTGACTTGAACTTCAACAACCGTTGGATTGATCGTATGGGAGTCGTTGAGGAACCTGATCAGATGGTGGTGGTGAGTCAAAAGAGGAAGGTAACGGTGGTGGAGTCGTGGGTGACGGTGGAATGCGTGACGGACACTTGCATGGATGGGAGAAAGCTAGGGAGTACGGACGTGGATAGGACGAAGAATCTGGAGGCTGACACGTGCCCAGGGTTTATATCCGATGGTTTGAATAGGGTGCAGTGGTGAACGGAGCTTACAAGAGGATGTTGACTGTGGGGGAAGGAAATGACGGGCCGTCACCGGATGTAATGGTTTGGCTCGTGATGAAACAAGAGTTACCTAGGTTTTGCACTGCATTCTCATGCAAGGTAAGGTTGCAGTACACGTGGCAGAACGAGAAGTATTCGAGGATGTTGCCGTGTGATGTCTGGAAAATGGATACTGCTGGTGGTTTTGCATGGCGGCTGGACGTGGAGGCTGCCCTCAGTCTCGGTCGTTAAGGAAAATTGAGATCAAAGGAGTAATTAAAGAGAGAAATGAAGCACAATAGTAGAATAATCAGGTAACGCGGACTGTTCTTTTTTTCACTAAACAAAACCAAGAAGGAACAAAATAAATGACTAGTATCGAAAGGCACTGGCATTTTGTTCACGGAACTTGAAAAGATAGAAGATGGGATACAAGATTTGAAGTGTGTTTTTGGGGTACCCAATCAGAACCCTTATTCTTAGGAATCCCAAACTCTAGGATTTTTGTTTTTTTATATTATTATGCTAGTTTAAACTGTTGGAAACAAGTCTATTTAGGTTGGCAAAGCAGGATTTGCTGGCATCTGGTACAAACTTTTCTTTTTACTAGGACAAGAAGGGGGACAGGTGGAGGATGCTACTGGATAGAATGAAAACTACCCATACCCAAACCGAAACACAAACCCAAACCCAAACCCATGCACATAGTGCTATTTTTTTCTATTATTTTAGTGAAAGAACATAACTAGGACGGGATAACAAGCTATATCTAGTCTAGGTAAAATACAAGAACGTAACTAGCTTTTAATGTGCTGTCAGAAAATTAAAGTACTGATGATGAGCTGTTTTTCTTTTTTCTTGTGTTGATGCTCTTTTGCCAGGTAGGTAGATGGGGAAGTACTACAGTTGGTCCACTAATTGAATTCATCAGTTTTTGGTTGTGATAAGGATTGGCTGGTTGTGTATCGGGTTGTCGCCCTGACCTCTTTTTGCTCTTGTGCTTGATGCACAAGGAGTTCTCTCTCCCTACCCCTAGGGGATTCAATTCCTGTTCAGCCACTCACCTAGCTATACTTAGGATCCGAAAGTGGTTGGTAAAGTAATAAAAGAGAGCTAAGAAAACTTAAATGTTTCTTGCCATAGACCACCCACCACTTTGTGAAAACAAAATTTCTGAACACCAATTATTAGTTGTTACCATAGTACAATATTAGAGTAGTCCTCTCCTTAAGCTTAGGACCTAAATATTCAAAGCAAAAAAGTGTCTTTGTCACAAGCATTTCAAAGCAAATGCAACAAGAGTTGAAAACACACTCCCATTGGGTGAAAGTACACCAAGTTAAAGAAGTCTACTAAACATTCTCATACTAGGTCATTCATAGCTCTGTTAAACTCTATCATGGCTCTCTGTTAAACTCTATCTTCAAAACTATTTGTTGTGTAGTATTTCTAATTTAAAATAAAAGTGGAATACCTATAGTTAATAGTTATTCTTTGCATGCTGTACTTTGTTCATATATATATATATGCATATATATATATATAAATAAATAAGTATATCTAAAAAAATCCAAAAAGTTCACCAAATAGCTAATAAGATATTCAATACAACTTAATGAATCAATGTGGATTCAATTTTTAATAGAGAATTGGAGATATATATGAAGTGAAATGTACACTATCATGGGGACAAACTAGATATGATTAGTCATTCTTATAGGTTTAATATCATAAATGATGATAAGAGAACATAAAAGTAAGATTAGAATGTGTTTTTTAAGGCTTGTTAAGTTAATTTTTAGCGAGTTCATTTAGGGCAGTTGTCACTAGAAAAAAGCTTTTTTTTTTCTTTCTTTTTTGTCTTTTGTTTTCTTTGTTTAGACAAGCTAACAAATGATGATGCAATTCTTTTTTTTTTTTTGGGAGTTAACGTATAAGCCTATAATGTGTGGGAAACATGTACATGATGTTAGACCACTAATAAATTGACACTATGAACATAAAAAAAATCTAAGATATAGGAGATAATCGGTCAAATTTTTAATTATGAAAATGCATCTAGTTAACTTTATCTACATGCTCATGCAAATAAGACTGCATGCATACATGCAAAAATTTCATGACGTTCCCTGGATAAGGATAATTGAACTTATCCCTTATCAATGTTGTGTTTTTTTTATTCTAAAGGGTAGAATCACTTTCTAGTTGAAATTTCATTCTTTCTTTAGAGAACCAATGATGAATTGATGAAAAATACCTATAATTAAAACGATTCAAGAGGTTCAATAAATATTCCCCTATAATTGACTCTAATTATATTTAAATAAATTATAAATCGTGTCGTTCATATAAAATTTAATTCGATTCGTTTAACAAATGTGTTGGACAAATTGTATCGTATTTTATATTTAATAAATAAATACATTTATATACATGTTTAAGATTTTGTTATATTTAAATATTGTATTGTGTCTATATTTATTTGTATAATTGATAATAACTTATATTTGCATGAAGACAAATTGTTTCGTCTAAAATAATAATTAAGTTTATTTTGCCACTGTGATCTGATATAAGTTTGGGATCCAACTGTCTTTTCTTCTTTGACAACTTCAAGATACGCGTGCTTATGTCTTCGCCAATATTATAGTATTGTTTCTCCCCTCGGGTGAATTCAGTCTCTATTTTCTAACAATATTTCCTTAATGTGACAAGGTTTTCTAATCAGAGGCCGACGTCAAAGGATCAAAAAGAAACAACTGAACATGTACAGTTTTACTCCTGGAAGTGCACATATGCTACGTAAGTGTTGAGCTTAGAGAATTATAAAACGTAGTGCTGAATAATTTCATTGCCATGGCAAGCTGCCTTAGATGAAGAGTTGAAAGCCCAGATTTTTGGTCTGAACATCGATCAACTTCACCAAGCGAAAGGTTCATGCACGTTTGTGTGAAAGATTGACGATGAGGTCTAATCAGTTGTCTGCTAAAACAAGTTTAAAAATAGATATGCTACTAGATGAACATGGATTGAATTAATGCTATGTATATGTAGCAATATATATATGTATAATCAAGGCTGGTAATGTTACTTATAAGCCTCTTTTAGAAGAAGAAAGATTATGTATATAAAAATGATTTCTGCTCTGCAATTTTTATTCTTCTTAATTTACAGCCATTGGATTAATTCAAAGTTTGGCTTAACTCTTTTTCATTGCATTTAGAAGTTTGAGCTAATAATAAATAATTAATGATTTGTAACAGAGTGAACTCTTCGACAGACGGACACATCAAAACGAGAATCAACTTAAATAGATTTTTTTTTTATCTATTGCAAAAAATCACTGACTGTACTGTTACAAACATTTATTGTATACTTTATTTCAATTAAAAGTTCCCTTCGATGATTAATAATAATAAATTACGGCTTCAAAATTCATGGCTAGTTCCCGGATGCAGTGATTTAAAGGAATTATATTTGTATTTAACCAATAAAATTTTCTTGATAACAAATTGAGTGATAAATTTGCATACCATAATCTAATCTTGATAAATGTTTTTAGTATAATTTTTCCGTGATTGTCATACAAAAATCCTAAATCAAATCTTAGTGTCCGGGTGAGTCAACATCATGGGTCTTACCTAAGATGCTACCAGATCTAAACATATCAAACAATATCCAAAAAGTAATATTCAGTGTCAGGTGAGTCACTTGCCTGGATATATATTTAACCATAAAAGATGTACAATTTCTTTGGGTTTGTCATGGAATCGATTTCAAAATTTTATGATTACTCATGGGGTTCACTTTGCGTGACATGAAACCCAACAATGGACCTAAGAATATTTTTACAACATCCTAATATATAACTGTACACACAAATTTCTTGTCAAAATTTCTTGACTTGAAAACTATGAGACAAATACAAATATTTGATGATGTGAGTGATAATCTCTGAAAGTTCCTCTGATTAATTTCTTCACTTCGTTTTCAAGAGTCACGAACTTGGACTTTGTCTTGATCACGAACTTCGCCGTCGTTTGATCACGAACTTCGCCGTTGCTTGATCTTCACCCCAAAAATCTTATATTCTTCTTGATCTCTGAAATGCTGTCAATCTTCGAATGCTTCTCTATCTTCGAATGCTTCCGAATGAATGAAAATGACTTGGAGGAGCCCCTATTTATAATGTTAAGTGGGAGACTTTGATGAGAATGAAATCTCTTTGAATTATCTCTAAATTATTTTAATTTATTTATAGATAAATTATGATGACTCATTGAAAGTCTTTTGATTGACCGGACTTTGAGTCCTTGAATTTTGATTGGCCGAAGTTAGGTATTATCTCTAATTTATTTAGAGATAATTCCAATTTGATTTTTATCTCCAAACTAATATAATTATTAGAGATAATTTAAATGACCAATAACTAAATTTTAATTGGTCAAAAATATGAAGATTATCTCTAAATTATTTAGATTTATTTAGAGATAAATTAGATAACCAATAGCTAATATTTGATTGGTCAAAATATAAATATTATCTCTAAATAATTTAGATTTATTTAGAGATAAATTGAATGACCAATAGCTAATATTTGATTGGTCAAAATATAAATATTATCTCTAAATAATTTAGATTTATTTAGAGATAAATTGGATGACCAATAGCTAATATTTGATTGGTCAAAATATGAATATTATCTCTAAATTATTTTGGGAGATAAATATATACCAATAGGTGAATTGGTTCAACTATATGCCTTTAAAATAATCTAACCAATAAATTAATAATTTTATAATTAATTATATGATTAAAATATTATTAAATCCACATGGCAGCAGGCTGATAATTTTTTTTCTTCTACAATAACATAAGGGATGTTGGTCTTGTCATGATGTACACTTTCTCTCTTCTCCTCACTGCTAATGCTTTGTGTTTTCTCCTTGCCTCAAACAACTCCATGCAACCCAAAGATAATCAATGAGAGTTTTCAATGATAATTCGAATCCTTTTGAGAGTATTTTTTTTTATAAAATGCTTTAACTATCCAACGATTTTGAAATCATAATATTTATAATTAATTTGATATGGCGATATCGAGAAAAAAAATTGATATCTTGATGCAAATATTCTCAACGATGTATATCAGAATCTTGTATTGAGATTCTTAAATATTTCAAGACAAGATTATAAGATACTAAATAATGTGCTACATAAATACTTCCCAATTTCTTCCTAAATATATTTCATCAATGTAATTATTAGGAGTAAGTAAAAGCCGGTTAAAATTGACTTACTCAACATAATTGATAAAAGTAGGTTCATTTAGTTTGGTTAATTAGATTAAAATGATTAATTCAGTTAAAGAAGTTGGTTTAGTCGAGTCGGTTCAATTAAAAAGAAATTTTAAGTTGTTTAACTAAATCAATTGACTTTATTTAGATAATAAGTCCTGCATACATGTATCTTACTCACACATCTTCTCCATTACACATATATAAATATATGTTTTTTTTGGTTGATTACAAATTTCATCTATTTATTTTTATGTATATAAATATATAATCCATACTAAATATTCAGCTTTCCGATGCAACAAAAAAATCAATTTATATTTTTATAAATTTTTATTAAATTATTAATATCAATATATCATTGATATAATCATACAAAATACTTATAAAAAAAATTAAACACAATGCAAAACTAATATTCATAAAATTATTTCCATCACTTTTTTATTAGAATTTTTTTATTTACAAAATATGTGACTGTCATCTCACATATTTATTAAAAAATGTGAAATATTTTTCTATATGAATAAATCACTCACCAAAAATTAAAAAGCACTTACATAAAATCTAAATAAGCAATCAGCTAAGTACGAATTATTTATTCAATTTTTATTGTTTCTCAATCTTTTAAACTAAGGTTACTCCATTGGGATAATTTTAATCTTATGTTAAGAATTATTGCTAAGTTTGGTTTATGGAATGAAATAGAGAGGAAATAGAATGACTATTCTATGTGAATAGAATAGAGAATGAATAGTTATTATGCAATTTGGTTCAATGGAATGAAATTGCTATAATGACTTATTTCAATGTTTAGTAGATAAAAGTAATTTTGAGAGGTGTCTTAGTTTAGTTAGCTTAAATATAATGATATTTAAAGAGGGGATTGGAATCTTTGAAAACTTTTTGCAATTTTAAAAATGATAAATATTTGTAAGCTTGAAAAACCTTTTTTGAGACAACAAACTCTTGTAAGAACTTTGTTTTCAACAAATAAAAGATATGAGAGTAGAGAAAGGCTTGTACAAATATTTTATAGAGGTTTGATCTCTTTACTCTCGTCTTTTCCCTTAACTCGTTAAGTAGTTTTAAATTTATTTAGAAAAATACATTTTTTAAGGTTCAAGCATAACCTTCACAATCAACCTTTTCAAGGTTAAGGTTTAATCTCCCTACCTTTTTAATGGTTAAGGTATAACCAACACTACCTTGTAATGGTTAAGGTATACCTTTCTTAAATGATGACAGGAACAACAAGAAAGCCTTTCTAAGGAAAATGTGCTTAATGGGTACAAGAAATATCAAGTGTAATAAATGTGGAATGAAAATATTTACCTCAAAGCTAAAGTACAATGGAAAACTTACATGTAGAGATAGAAAATAATGATTTAAATATTTGAGTGTTGCTCTCTTGTTTGGAGATGTTTTTTGGAGTTTTCTTACTTCAAAAACAGGGTAGGAAGCTTTAATTTATAGCTTGGAAAACCTTTGGAGCCATTGGAGATCATTTAATACCAAAACTAGTCATTGGGAGTCACAAATGCATGCTTGTCACACTTCAAGGATCATCCTTTTACCAATAGGGGTCGATCCCTAGCTGCAAAATTTTTTCTTAATATTAGGGGATTGTAACTAATTTTTCTCTCTTGTTTATGAAAAAGGAGGAATGGCTTTGCAAAGGGGTTATGTGTGTGGTGGTAGCAGAAAACGAAGGGCCATAGAGGGTGATAACTGCAGTCAATGGTCGGAACTCCCTGCTGTTCTACTTGAGTTGATCTTGAATCGATTGGGGGCGATAGAATTCTTAATATTTGCTTGTGTTTGTAAGCCATGGAGAGCAGTTGCAATTGCACTCAAGCAAGAGTTCATGGCATCCCATGGCCCACTTGTTTTTCTCATGCCAACAAAAGCTAGGAAGTATTGCTACTTCTACAACATCTTTGATGATAGACTTTACAGGACAGCACTGCCTCACCTTGCGGGGAATAAATGTTTGGGATTCACTTGCGGTTACTTGGTTCTTGGAAACTCAGAAATGAAAAAGAAGGAAGCAGATATATGGCTCGTGAATCCTTTCACAAGGCATGAACTCCATTTTCCTAGGCCACCTAAACCTTATGCTCACGTCATTCTGGCTTCTTTGGCCAAGTCTGACTCAGAATCGATTCTTGTAGCCTTCTCCAGGTTGCAGCACCCTTTCTTACAGTTTTGTGGATCTGGAGATTTCAATTGGACTGTCCTGGAATATGCCGTGGATCATTGGATGATCACAGATGTTGCTGTCTTCAAGGGCAAGATCTATGTCTTGACTAGTCATGGAGAAGTTGGGACTTTAAATTTGAGCTCTAGTCCGAAAGTGGCATTGCTGCATGTCAAACGTGTTTCTCCCTTTGTAGATACTCTACATGGCTAAGTTTGATCCTTTTGAATAGCTCTATCGAGATGTACAAGCTAGACATTGAGAGGAAGGAATGGGAGAACGTGAAACTAGAGGGTCAAATGATGTTCTGGTACGCTCTTAAATCCTGTATGCCACTTGGTAGGAAGAAGCATTCTTGGCGGCAACACAGTACAATTTCTTGTTGGTACATGGGCCAAGGTCATGGATTTGACCCGATGGGACCGGAAACCAAAGATCTTCATGAGTTCTCCGGCTTGGTACTTTCCTCATTTATCCGGATTCTGTTGATGTGGATTAGATGATGTTATGAACTATTCATTGGTAGTTCGTTTGTGTGTTTAATTCTCCATGAAATTTTCACACATGTGATTGGACCTTTTTTATTTTAAATTTCCAAGTATTGATAGTTTTTATAGTAATTAAATTTATACATGTAATTGGATCATTTATACTTAAATTTCGAAGTGTCAATGTCAATCTTTGTTGTAGGCATGGTATGAGATAAAAGAAGACCATCTCTCCCCTACCACATAACCAAAACAAAAGACAAAGAAAGAGGTCAAGAAATTCTGGTTTATATCTAATTATGGAAAGATGTATAATTTCTTTGTGTCTGTCATGTAATCGATTTTAAAATTTTGTTATTTTGTGTTTGTCATATATATATATATATATATATATATATATATATATATCCAACAATTAGTTGGTGGATCAAAGTTTGAGAATATTTTTTCAAATTCCTAAAAAATAACATAAGGGATAATGTTGGTCTTGTCACGATGTACACTTTCTCCGTACTTCAAACAAGTATATAAAACCCCAAGAAATTCAATAATTATCTTATTTTGGAGAGCTTTAAATGATATTTGTAATATTTTTAAGAATATTTTTTTTTCATAAAAAGTGCTTTAACTATCCAACTGGTTTGAGATCATATTATTAAGTAAACGTTGGTTAAAAGTGATTTAAATGACAAAAAATGGGTAAATTTTTGTTCGTTTAATTCAACTAAAATTATTAATTTGGTTAAAGGGATCAATTTAATCAATTTGATCAGCCAAAAAAATATTTTCTCAGTTAATCAAATCAACCGACTTTATATTTACTATTTATATAAAATTAGCCTTGCATGTATTTCACTCACACAATTTTTTCATACTCACCTATAATTTTAAAGCCTTAAATTTCATCAAACAAATGACAAATAATACATAATCTTACTAGTATTTTCTTTTTTTATCTCAAATTTCATATATTTATTTTTATGTATATAAATATATAATCTATTCCAATATTCAATTTCCCAATGCAACAAAAGAAATCAATTTACATTTTTATAAATTTTTATTAAAACATCAATATTAATATATCATTGATATAATCATATAAAACACCTACAAAAATATTAACATAATGCAAAACTAATATTCATAAAATTATTTTCATCACTCTCTTATAAAATTTTAGTTATTTACAAAATATGTAACTATCATCTCACTTATTTATTCACAAATGTGAAAGATTCTTTTATTAATAATTTTTTATTTGAACAACTCACTTACATAAAATCTAAATAAGTAATTAATTAATTAAGAGCTAATTGTTCAATTCTTATTGTCTCTTGATCTTTCAAACTAAGTTTATTATATTAGAATAACATTAATCTTATTTATATTCTTTTGAAAAGTATCAGAAATTGATTACTATGGAAAATATGTGAACATACCTGTCAGGCATCACGCCTCTGCTACGATAAAAAAGACCGTGGGCAGAACTTGGTTGCCGACAAAACATAACAGACCTTGAAAGTCTGTCACAATCCACGACAACACCGACTTACAAAATATTATTTATTTGTTTCATTAGCTTTACAGTTTTTTTCTGGTAAAAGACATTTCACAAGTTAAAAGATGATATATGAGATTCACATAGTTTATTCGTATCATGACTTTCTTTCTATTATAATAAGAGTCTACTGTCTCACAAGAAGTATCTTACAAATTGAGGGTGATATGAAACTTTAATGTTTGGTCTCATTCTAAAATATAATTGATATGAAATTTATGATTTTTTATTAAGATTATGTATTCTTTATGATATGAGATTCAAGCCTGTCGCTGGGGCATCAATGATACATAACTAGTACTCTAAAATTTACTTTTATATCAATTATCACGATCTACACCAACACAACTTGCAAGATATTATCCACTTTAGCTTGTTAATCTCATAATTTTATATCACAAAAAATACTTTAAAAATAAAAAGTAATATGATCTCTTAAATATTAAATTTTACTATAATATATAATCAATGTGAGATTCATGATTCTCCTTTAGAATCATGACATCTTCTCTTATTTCTTTTTTATATAGAATTTATGGCTTTTCGCTAGAACCTTATATTCTCTCTGTAGATGCTCTCCATTTAGTGGCTTCTCCTAAAGTGCATTACTTTGCTAACTTTCGTCCATATTCTATCGAGATGCACAAGTTAAAGACTTTGAGAGGATGGAATGGGAAATGGTGAAGCTAGAGGGTCAAATGCTGTTCTTGGGTGACATGAAGTGTTGCGGCTTAAGCTTCCCAACCCCATCCGGGGAATGGTGTCGTCAGCACTTCAATACGGTATGCCACTTAGAGGAACAGGCATTTTAGGTGGCCACACGGTACAATTTCTTGTTGATAAATGTGTCAGGCTTATGCATGTGACTCAAAAGGGATGGGTAACCAAAGATCTTCATGAGTTCACCTGTTTGGTATTTTCCTCATCTATCCGGTAATTTGGATTCTGTTTATGAAGGAAGATTAGATGATGTTCTGAAGTATGTATTGGTAATGTATTTGTGTGATTAATTCTATATGAACTCTTCATATGTACATGGAATTGGACCTTTTTTACTTTAAATTTCTATATCTCAATGTCCGAACCATGTATAGGTAATTTGTTTGTGTGGTTAATTCTATCTAAACACTTCATACATAAGTCAGTGGACTTCTTTTACTTCAAATTTCGTAGTCTCAATGTCGATCTTGGTTGGAGACATAGTAGAGTTAAAAGAAGACCATCTCTCCCCTGCCACATAACCAGAGCAAAAGACAACGAAACAACTCCAACATGTTATATTTCCATCTAAATCCTTGCTGTACGTATAACTATCATTAGATTATTCTTCTCCTCAAGATGACAAGAAGAATCTGGCCATAAGCTTTCAATGCATTTGCTCCTGGAGGCAAAGCTAAGGAATCTAAAAAACATTTCATGACTCCAGGCAGTAAAGATGTCAAGAAATGATTCACAGTTTCACAACAGATATATTTCAATAACACCATTGATTAAGAATAGAAGAAAATAAGAATGGGCAATTTTTGTTTTAACTGATTTTCATTCACAGACATGTAAACGACAAATTTTAGTCGGCACTGAGAACAGTGATCCAAGTATCCAGCCATAATATATAGCATTATAAAAAGAAATCTAACAAAAATTCAATTCTCCGAGCAAAATTAATGTATGTGTGTGGAGCAGCTTATTTCTTCTCAACTCGGAAAAAAGACTCATCAGGTCATTCAATTAACACTTGGGGAAAGAAGCACCAATTTGTCATGGAAGAAACTAGATCATCCCAATAAGCAAAATTATTGCCAAATCAAATCCCCAAAAAGCACATCAGTATGATGGGAATCTGGGGGGAAGCTAGTTAACAACATCAACAATCAGCCTACGAGACTTGAAAATAGACCACTTCAAACGCCGGTAGTAAGCAGCTTGAAGTAACGCCAATGACAATACAAATATCCACTTAAAGCCCATCTGCATTAGGAGACAGAAATATTAGAAATAAATTATAACAAATGGTCATTACATGAAATAATTGTTTATAATAATACACACCAGCTTCCTCTCTTCCATTTCTGGTTCTGCTGCCCATGACAAAAATGACACCACATCTTTCCCCATCTACACCATAACAATATGGAAGAGTGAGCCGTATACCCCATAAAATATGCATATACTTCAAAGGTTCTCAAACGCATAGGCAATGCCAATGAAACAGAAACGTAGAAACCAACCTGAGCTTCTGTTGCAGAGGTGCCATCTTCATACTCCACAGCACCATCAATTAGCATTTTAGGCATGGCAATTGCTCCTCCAGGAAAGTAGGGATTATAGTGTAACCCCTCGCGAATCTACATCACAATTGGCAATGATGAGTGTAGGTATTACTCTCAACCAAAATATTCAAGTGGGACTAGCATTTCTAGCCTCCTGGTAACAAGTCATACATGCATGTGCACGTGCACACACCAAAAGTTATTCAACAGAAGGAACTATCATTCAGGGAAAATGGATGCTTAAGATTCTTAATATTACTAGAACACAATTTAAAAAAGCTAAATGCATAAGCATATTGACAAGTGAATGAAGCAAAGAAACTTCCAACAATACATATGCCCGACTTTGCATGGCAGATTTCTCAGGGTTACATCTCCTCATTACATATTTTGGACTTAAAGGTCTCAAGTCCTCAACCATCTACAATCCTAATGCGAATTTTCTAAGTAAATATGTCTACACAACCATCTCCCAGGCTCCCTCAATTTTTTGCTCTCTCATGGAACATGTTCATGGTTAAGGTCATGCAATTCTACTCAGAATAGAGTGTCATAGGCATGGTAGTAGTGTGCAAATATTAAGGTGACCGATCATCAATTCTGCAATATTTCAGCTATCGTATACAACTTAAAGAAAGCCCCTGCATGGCCCCCCTAAAGCAACAAAACAATGCATACAGAAAAGCATAAACAAAAATGTTGTTATGTGACAGGTGCCAATGGAGGTAAGAAAAACCATGACAATTAAAAGTGCTATTTTCATTAGACAGAAGCTGATTGAAAAGCACCAGTTAACATGGACCAAACTTAAAGAGCTACAAAACTTCATCCCAACTACAGAACCTCGTTGTCCCCTTCCATTGTGTCTCCCAATTGCCAAATATCAAAATATGATCACAAATAGTATTTTTCTACAAGGATATAGAGTTCAAACAGAACTTACCATAACGCCAGCAGGAGGATCACGGTAACCAGTTAGAAGGGCAAACACATAATTCTGGCCATTATGACGAGCCTGAAAAAAAGAGTATGATATTTCAGGGATAGATAATGACAACTTCCACGGAGATCTAAAAAGTAAGGCAGGAATTACTTTGGTAATGAGACTTAGATCTGGCGGATAAGCTCCTCCATTAGCAAACCTAGCTGCTTGTTCATTTGCATATGGCTGAGGAAAACGGTCACTGAGTTTACCAGGACGAGTAAACATCTCGCCCTCATCATTAGGTCCATCAACCACCTCAATCTCAGCTGCCATAGCCTTTGTCTCCTCTTCTGTGTATGCAACACCCACCAAATCACGGTATGATATTAGAGACATAGAGTGGCAGGATGCACACACTTGTTGGTAAACCTGGTGACCACGACGAATCCTGATCATGCAAAATGAATCTTGCACCAATTAAATCGTGGTACCAAAAAATTTAAAATTTTTTACCATGCTCAACCAAATATTACAGTTGTAGGGGAAGATGCACACCTATCACATAGAAACATCCTATCCACCAAAAGGAAGGTAAGACTAATATAAAGTTTTGGCTTCCCAAAGAATAGGAAGCAATTGAAGTTAAAAGGTAAAACCATTACTGTTAGGAAAGACTCAATGATCTAAACTTTTTTACTGGAATCATTAAAGCTTTATTTTTGGATTCACGTTTTCAAGTCAAGTTTGAGACCCAATGCACATAAACAAAAAAGAGGGGAGAGTCATTAAACTCACGACGCATGGTCATAAGAACTGAGGATGCCCTTGTGAGGCCATGGATAATTTGGAACTCCTAACCCATGTTCTGCCTCATCAGCAGATGCTACTGTCGCAACACCTAGCAAACCTGAAATACCAGCTCCAAGGAGTGCAACCGTTCTCATGCCAGCAGATCCTGCATCCTCATTAGCTTTCCTTGAAGTAAACCATGACAAAGCTGGAACCTGTGAGATCATGTGTAACAAATATGGGTAACTGGGAGGAAAAACACTATAGGCTAAAATTATATCTTCTATTTAGTGGCAAAATCTAAAGTGAACTCAATTGAATCCTACAGAATCAGACAAACAGGCATCCTTATAGAAACTTTTCATTATTTTCAGAGCAGAAAATACACCATTTGACAAAAATGTTTTTAAAATTTGACTAACTAACAAAGAAGGGGATAAAAAACTCAGTTAGAATTCTACTTGGGGGAAAGGAAAATCCATGTAGCTAATATTTCTAGATTTTCTTAGAAAATTTTAGAAGATCCAGTAAGACCTATGTAGACTACAGAATCCCCATAAGCTCATTTCACAGCTAACTCTAACATAAACATCAAGACAGGAAAAGTAAGAAAGAGGCTTACAGCAGACTGAGACTGAAGTTTCCTCCGTAAGACTTGATGAATTAATCCTCCAGCCATTTCAGTTAATATTCCTGTAAAATCAATTAAACCTTAACAAGCAAAAACAATACTTACAACTAACAATAAAATAACAAAAAACCAAGGTCCAGAAGAATTTAAACTGAGAATTCATATAATATATATTCAACAACGCCAAAAAGGTTCCTTTTTCAGTCAGTATTCTTTAATTCCGCAAAAAGGAAAAACCTTTAGGCAGTTCAAACAACTGGGCACACATAAAAGTAAGAGACAAATGTGAAAATACACAAATAAGAGTCAGATTTTCGATTATTTAGCATGAAAAAAGAAACCCAACTTGAAAAGAAAAACACAAAGAAGCCAAAAAAGGTGAACTTTGAGAAGAAAACAAAGAGAAACTTGAAAAACCCTAACACGGGGATCAGGGGCAGATCCTAGAAGTATGGAGAAAAAGAAACAGAAAGAAAATAAAACCCAAAGATGAACAAGGAGGGAGAAAGACAGACCTGGCTTGAGAATGAGATTGAAAGTTGATCAGAGAGAGGTGGTGGTGGTCTAAGGAGCTGGCCGCTGCTTCAGAGATCCAAAGGAACAAAAGGAAAGAGGAAAAAGCAGAAGGATGATAGAGGAAAAATGTAAATTGATGAAAAAAAAAAATCTGTCATTGATTAGTCGTGTGTCCACCAACAGTTGGAAGTCTTTGGGCTTCAAATGGCCTGGAAATCGGCCCATGCTACCGGTCATTGAAATTCACAGCAAGAGTTCGGCCTTCTCAATGCTTTGGGCCCAACCAGCCGACAGCCGAAAAGGCCAGTGTAGTCTTTTTAGTGAAGGGCAAAACCATGCAAGCACCGACCATCAAAGCAGCAACCTAGGAAAGGAATGCCCCTGGATTTCCAATCTTGGTCAAGACAAAACAAACAGAAGGAAACTTGAAAAACCACTAAAAACCATTGGCGCCCAACTGTTTATCACCTCAAACTCAAAGTTTCTATTGTCTTCCTTTCTCCTTGGCTCTCTTTTTTTCTTTCTATTAAATAGAAAATGAGGATATTCAACACTCTCATGAACCTGCAAAAGAAATGGCAAAAAATCTACACCACCACCATCAACATCAGAGCAAGAACAACAGTTGCACGAAATTTGTAGTTATTCTGTCTTCTGCCTGTCTTTTGGGACTGGCTTGCATTGCAAATCTCTTGTGGGCATCTTCCTTTTCATTTTCCTCCGCATATCTTAGCATTGCATCCAATTGGGTTCCTCAGAAACCTCGTATCTTTGTCGTGCCGAGTGCTGAAGAAGAACCCAACATTGTTGCTGGCAAGGTTTTGTTCTGTGTCTTTCCCTCTTTTTATTGCTTAATTAGTTTCTTTTTTTTTTCCTCAAAAAAACCATTTTCTTCCAACTGGTTCTTGTCCCTCTATTTATTCGATCCTTTGGTTAAGAGAAGGGATTGCTGCATTCTTAATTGTATTGATTTTGTTAATACGGTGAATTGATGACCAATCCTATTTGTAGATAGGGAATGGGATTGAGAAAAGAAAGAAGGAACGTGTTTCTGAGAGATTCCTATCAGCAACATTTGCGGATTTACCAGCACCAGATTTGCCATGGGAACAGATGCCATCAGCACCAGTTCCACGTCTTGACGGATCAGCAATACAGATTAAGAATCTTTTCTATGTTCTTTCAGGATATGGCACCCTTGACTATGTAAGAGTTTATCATTTCAGCACTTATATTTCTAACATTTTCGGATATTCAAGTCCAATAAGGGAGCCTGCTTGTCACCAAATGTTCATGCTTCCAAATTTTGAATCTGTTAAAATTCTCTGGTTTTGGTCTTTGGCGTTTTAAGCATTCTCTTCTTGACATTTCCATTTTGAGGATTAATTGGTCTTTGGGATGCTTTATACCAGCATTTTAGATTGAATGGTTGAATATAACTGCTGTGATTTGATTTCCAAATTACTCATGGTTTCAGATGAATGATGCCTCTGTTGGTGTCCTGTAGGTGCACTCTCATGTTGATGCCTTTAATTTTACTGATAATACATGGTGTGGGAGATTTGATACGCCAAAAGACATGGCGAATTCGCATCTAGGAGTGGCAAGTGATGGGAGATACATATATGTGGTCTCAGGTCAATATGGCCCCCAATGTAGGAGCCCTACTGCTCGAACTTTTGTCCTGGACACTGAGACAAGGAAATGGCGCAGCCTGCCTCCTTTACCAGCCCCCAGGCATGTGATTCCATCCATATTTACATGGTCTCTACACTGCACTTTTTCTCTTACAACAGTTAAATTATCAAATGAACTGACTTTTCAACATTAAAATGTTCAGGTATGCTCCAGCAACTCAGTTATGGAGGGGCAGACTCCATGTGATGGGGGGCAGCAAAGAAAACCGCCACGCACCTGGATTGGAGCACTGGAGTATAGCAGTAAAAGATGGCAAAGCATTGGAGAAAGAGTGGCGGACTGAGATCCCAATTCCTCGTGGGGGACCACATAGGTTTGTTTACTACTCTTTCTTCAGATATTCTCTTGGTATTTTGTGTAGTCCCTTCCCAATTCCCCTCTCCAACCTCTTCATTAACACTATCTAATTATGCAAGTAAACATTTTAACAGGGCTTGTGTTGTGGCCAATGACCGGCTCTTTGTAATTGGTGGTCAAGAGGGAGATTTCATGGCCAAACCTGGATCTCCTATCTTCAAATGTTCACGCAGGCATGAGGTAAATTATAGCTAATTAGTGGATTGGATGATTATTGTTCATACGTGTTTCTCTCATCTATCATACCAGGATAAGTTGGATAGCTGTAATGATGACAAGGTGAATATAAGAAGTCATGATATTCATTCTAAAACTACAAATCCGTGTATAGTAGCATAGGGCTTTCAACATGTTTTTCTATTTCTCATATTTGATTCTTGGGCCCCTTGGTCCTCATAGCCTTGTATTCTTCACTGCTTTAGGTGGTCTACGGTGATGTTTACATGCTAGATGCTGAAATGAAAAAATGGGAAGTGTTACCTCCATTGCCAAAACCAAACTCCCATATAGAGTGTGCTTGGGTAATTGTCAACAATTCAATCATAATTACAGGAGGTACAACAGAAAAGCACCCAGTGACCAAAAGGATGATCTTGGTTGGGGAGGTTTTCCAGTTCCATTTAGATTCATTGGTATGTGCTTTCCCAGAACAAAGAATTCCCATTTTTTTTCTTTATATGGTAAATGCTATGCAAGCATCGGAAACCTGATGTAAAATTTGCTGATTGCAGACGTGGTCAGTGATTGGAAAGCTTCCTTACCGTGTGAAGACTACCCTAGCTGGTTTCTGGGATGGATATTTGTATTTTACATCTGGACAGCGAGACAGAGGACCAGATAACCCACAGCCGAGGAAGGTCATTGCAGAGATGTGGAGAACCAAATTGAATTTGTGATTAAATTTGTTTGCCCTTTCTGGAAATACAAATCTTAGGTCAAGTATTTTTATTCAATTATTTTTTCGTCCAATATTGATTTCTGGTAATTAGACAAATTATACATCAGAAATTTTTGTTAGCATCATCTGTACATTGCCATGGATAATTAAAACTGGATTTGTATTCTTCTATAACCATTTTTACCTTTAAACCTTTGGTTATCAACAGTGAAACAGTACTATCACTGTGTTAATTAGAAAGCTGCCCAGGTATTGGTACACTTATTATCCAGTTTTGCAGTTGAAGGGTATGAGCAGACTGATACAGGAAAATGAAGAAACATGGGGGAGATGTATAAACAGAAGGGTGAAAGGGATTGCGTCAGAACTGGAGAAATTCAACTAGGTAGAAGAATTACACAAATGACAGAAACCAGGATCCAGATCTGCATTTAGAAGGAATGCCCAACATTCATTAGCGACCAAGATTATCTATGCACCTGTTAGGTGAAGATTTTTTATATTTTCTCACTTTACAAGAAGATGATCCCAGATGGACCTGTAAAACTACAGCTACACAATTGAACAAAGTGATAAAAGAAAAAGTGTGAGACAAGGAAGAAGAAAGTGATGAAGCATAAGAAGAGTTCACGCACATCACGGCTTCCAATAACTTGAAAACAACAAGCAAGATTCTCTCTTAAAAGCCTATTAGATCCAGCAACAGATTTCCCATGATCCATACCGGTCCTAAGGAGTGGCTGATTAAATCTACCTGCAAAACATTCCACAAAAAAGAGGAAGAAAAAAACCATTTAGGACAGGAAATCGAAAGTCAGTTAGAAAGGCCAAAGCAATGATAATAACAATATGTGGTCATTTTTAAGGCATTTTTATGTTCTCTAGCATCAAGAGACTTCTATACTTTTCTGATTACATTCCAGGAGATGGTCTAAAAGTTCTCGAAGTATCTCTGCTTTCTGAACTTTATTTTCTGGTTAAAAAGAATTGATTCTTAGTCATTAAGGTTATCTAAAGCCTGGTAGAATCATGAAAAACTGATTGGTCATTGCAGGTTCCTTCAACTGACCTGATTCGTGGTCTCCCATAGAGAGGGACGTCATCCAAGTAATACAAAGAACTTCCACTATTTTGTTAAGTTACAATAGAGACTGGTACTTCTGCAGAAAGTTCATCGAAACTAGTATGAATATGGGTAACAAGTATAGAGTTAACAGTGCAAAAAGGACAGAGGGAACAGACTGAGAGAAGAGACCTTTCATTTCAATAAAGGGGCATAAGGTGCAGGGCATGGAGAGACAGTGTGATCAGGTAACTGGTCCATCAAATCAATTGTTGCCTGCAAACATGCATGGAGAATTTTCTTTTCCAACCTAACAAGCTGTGTGGCAACTCGTCTCTTGGGATTCAAGTTTGGATCTGACAACTAATGTAACAAAAATATGTCAAGTAAAACTTACTTCACAATAAGCTAAGATTTAACCTCCAACTCAGTCGATAGAGCCAACTTTACCAAAGACTCATCTTCATTCAGTGTAGTAGGGTAGCCAGCTAGGCGTCCATTGAAATAATCAACAAGCTGGCCTAGCACTGCTCGTTCCATACAAGGGCTCACCTATGGCAAATATATTTCACCATAATTTCAGAAGGAAGAAAAAGTTCCATTCTGTTTACCTAAATGATTTTGTGATTTTAATCCTACAAAAGGCGCAGCTAGAATCAAAGTTTACAAAGGAATAAAGGGCCAAGGCTGAAATCTTTTTCTACAAAAAATGACCAAACTGAATTATGCATTAGTTTGGATTTCAATTTGAGTATAACTCTCACAAATCTTACATTGCAATTAGGATTTAGTCATGTAGCAAATAAATTAAGAGATTTACAATTTGCAGTAAATGAACTCACAGGGCAGACTGGTCCTTGAGAAGAAAGAACAGATTGCATCTCCGAAGGATCAGAAACATAGCCCAATCGCAAATACGGAAGCATATCCGTAACAGCTTCTTTTTCCCTCCCTGCATAAACCTGAAACAGGAAAAGATAAAGATCAGAAAGAGAATATCTTGCAATAATCCAATTAACACAAGGTTCAAGTTCTTACACGAAAAACTTGTACTGATAGTTTACCATTTCTTTGAACAACCATCCTCTTTTCCTGATATTGAGGATCCTCAGTATTCAAAGCTGCCTGAACATACGGTAAACAAAGCCATCAATCTCATTTATACCATTGACTTATACGTATCACACCAAATCCCATCACTTTAATCATTTTTGTTCAACATATGTAAGGCATCTAATACACAGAAGTAAAGATACCTATTCATTCAGAAAACATATCAACACAGTTGACAAAGAAAACTATGAAATTGCAGATACAAGATGGAAAATCCAAATTTACCTCAACAACCAGTCGATCATGAGAATTATCATCATCAACAAAACCATAATTTATAAGCAATTTTGAATTAGGCTGGGGTCCACACCTAAAAAGACAAGTAATTTTCCAATGTCAAAGTTTGTATTGCAAGGTACAAATGGAGCAACAGTTAGAAGGCAAAGGTTTAGATACTATAGCATGACTGAAAGAGAAACCAAAATAATGAACAATAAATAACATATTGTATTGATACCAGACAACAATAGATTCCCCAGCCTTATATGGTCGATCAACCACCAGTTCAACAGCACCATCGACAGCACTTAACATTGCCTTGCAATTGCTCCTGTAAGCTAGCAATGGGGGTCCAAGAGGAACCAAAGCAAATCTCCGAGCCAAAGCGACTTTCTGAATACAAACAAGATTCAGTTTATCACTCCAACATAATGTTTCAAAAATTTCAGGACAGTAGAAAAAGAAGAGAGGGTTTTGGTATATGCAATGTTATCAACAGAGTTTAACCAAACAAGTGTCTAAATTTATTAAACATGAGGCATAAGGAATTTCACCATCTAGTGAGTCACTCATTTCCTCAAGGGTTGAGAATATATTTTTGAAAGTAGGGGAAACCATTATCACTGGCTAAAGAGAATATACCTGTAAATGTACCACGCAAGACTGAACAGCAACAAAGGCTTGTTTGAAGATCTCAAACGGAAAGGCCTCAGTAGGTATATCGTAGGGATATTGCTGCATGCAAAAAAATCAATAAATATTTATGGTCACACTCTAAACTTTAAGCTTTAACAAGGAAACTGAAAAAAATGTAATAGTATACCTGAAAGAGAGACCCAGCCATAAACCAGACAGTGTCAAGCTCATTATACTCTCTTTTTATTCCTTCAGCCCTTTCAAGAACTTCAGCCTAAGTTGTGAACGACAGAATTCAGTCATGAAACTCAATGAACTATAAAACATTAAATTGGCTATAAAAAATGAAAAGGGGATAAAAAGACATTGTGTTGTCGCTGCTACCTTAGTAGGGCTACCTGTTAGGTAAGCCAATTCATCTTGTGACCATAAAAGTGGAGATTCCACAGCCAGCTGGCCCCTTCCTCGTTGACGATCAAGCTCTCTGATATAAGGATACCAGAATGATTTCTTTCCTTGCTTCTTCTCATACATTAAGTACAAAGCTAGGCATGCCAATTCTGATAATTTGTTTGTTGTCAAAAGTTCCGCTGTATAAAAGGCCAGGCAAGTTAACACAAATCAGACATCCTAATTAAGTAAACAAAATGAAATCTTAAAATGGCTTCTTTTTCCCATTTTCCACTCAATTTAAATGCTATCATCAGATACAAAAATACAGACATAGATGCTCCAGAAGTGCTGAAATGAAATGAAATCCCACTCCACATTGCTACTCCCATCCTCTAATCACTCACCATTGACCACAAAGAGCTATAACCGGTGTAGCTGTACCCAAAAACAAGCTCCACAATTTATAGTTTTGCAAATGAGAAATCCACATCACAGAGTAGGAATCAAGTACGGGAAGCAGTTGCAACAACGGTCTAAACTACCACCCAAGTTGATAACCAACTTTACAAATTGGGGAAAAAACCTCAAATAAATCAAATTTCCAAAATTTAAAAGGACATTCATTGCTATATAATTCAACACCATATAAATGCACCTTACCAACAGTCTCATTTCCCAGCACTCTCTCAAGCGTCACGACCAATGAATTCGGCACCGAAAATGCCACATCACCCGCCTACAAAACCAAGAACTCAGAACCAAAAAAGAACAAAAACAAAACTTTAACAAAAACCCCAGAACAGAAATCGCAAATCTAACAAAATCCCATTAAAAAGACCACCAAAAGAATCACGAATTTAAAGCCAATTTACCTGTAGATCATCACTGGCAGCGACATAATGTATAGGTCTATGCTTCTCATCATGTGAAGGCCTCTCTTTGAGCTCAACTCTACAAGGAGGCAACCCGTTTTTGTGCATCCAAGATTTCAAGTCGTCAAATTCATTATCTTTCTTGCGGACGAGCTCCTTTCTTGAACCAGCCACAAGGGTATCAGAAGCTGAAGCCAGACAAAAATGGTTCCTTTTTCTAGAAAGGATTCTGGGGTTAGGGTTCTTGCATAATGGAAGTGAAAAGTGAGGTAATGGAGGCAAATAGCACTTGTTGTGTAAACAAGTGAGCTCCATTTTGGGAAGTTCCTTCTAGGAATTTGAGAAGAGAAAAAACGGAGGTTTTTTAAGTTTCTGAAGATATTTTTGGGGAAGAGATAAGGGAGGAAGGTGTTTGAAAGGGAAATGTAAAATACGATAAGAAAGAGGGCCTGAGTCTGGGGTATACTTGGATTAGATTGAATTGGATTGGAGGGAAACAAAAATACTTTTGGATGTTTTTATGTGTGCGCGGACCAGCAGAGGCTGCTAACTGTGGTATTTGATCTTCAACTCTCGATTTTTTTCAAGTTGACCCTGTTTCTAGACTATGGGTAGCACTAGAATTATATTATCTTTATCATTTGTTTGGAACTTTTTCTCGGAAAATATTGCCGGTGTGAGGTGAGAGTAGTTGAGGAAGAGAAAGGTTTTGGGGTGAGTCTGAGAATAAGGTTCCTATCCTATTTGTGTTACCAATTTAGATGCTTTGATTATTCATCTTTTCTTCTAGTGATTACTCATTACTCATTAATTGTATGTACATTGTCACTTTGATTTATTCAAACAAAACTATTTATTATAATTTTACGAGTAATTAAAATTTAAAAAATTAAGTTTTTATAAATTTTGAATTCTATATAATGTCACAAAAAATTACAATCAAAGTAAAGTAAACATTTAATTTGGAATGGAGAGATCGAGTTGCTCACTTTTATTATATTAGTTCATATTTATTGTTAGACAATTTTAATTTTAAATGTAGCAGAAAAATAACAACAAAATTTTTAATTTGGAGTGATTTGAGCTTGGATGTAGATTATAGAGGTATTAACCAAATCCCACCCTAGTCGATCCAAAAATACTTGTAAGAAAAAATGATAAGTATGTTAATTAATTTTTTTAAAAAAATCCTATTATTACTTTATTTTAAAAAAAGAAATTAACAAATTTTCTTTCGAATATGTATACAGGAAAACAATTAATATTAGTGTGGTAAAAATTCCAAAAAAGAAAAACTAAGTTGATGCTACGAAAAAAAGAGATATCCGGTACAGAAAAAAACTGACCAATGATGGTTTGGCACATATGGGGTTGGGCCTCTTTATACTTAACCCGACAAAATCTTCAATTTGTCACTGTTCCATACCTAGGGCAGCTGTCAGTGTACTTACGTCATCAATATCCATTCCCTGTTTCCGTACAGAAACGCAAACGCAAAAACTCACCACTAAGACAATTTTCAGCCGAAAAATGGATCAAAAAAACCCAACAATGGATCCCAAAAACGGCTTCAATTCAAAGACTAAAACCTTCCACAGCTTGAGACCGCCCATCAATCTCCCTCCACAACACCTTCCTTGGACGGTAACTGCCCACGCTCTCTCTCTCCAAGCCACCTCTCCTTGGCCTCGTGACTCGGTTGCTCTTATTGACTCTGCCACCGGCCAAAAAATCACCTATTCCGACTTAATTCGCCGGATAAACTCACTAGGTTTTTATCTCAGAACTGTTATCAAACTCTCCAAAGGAGACACCGCTTTCGTTCTTTCAACAAACTCGGTTGAGGTTCCCATTCTTTACTTAGCTCTGCTTTCCATCGGGGTCGTTGTTACACCAGCCAACCCACTCTGTACCGAGTCGGAAATCTCCCGCCAAGTCGAGTTATCAAACCCAGTGATCGCTTTTGCATTAAGCTCAAATGCCCACAAGCTCCCCAAGCTTCGTTTCGGAACAATTCTCATCGACTCACCCGAGTTTAACTCAGCCATGCAAACCAAGCCGGGGTTTAATCAGGAAACGTATCGAGTTGAAGTTTGTCAATCCGATTTAGCAGCCATCATGTACTCGTCCGGAACAACCGGAAGAGTCAAAGCAGTAATGTTGACTCACCGGAATTTAACCTCAGTGGTCACCGGCTATTACTCCGTCAAAGGAGAAACTAAAACAGCGTCGGTCGTGCTTTACACCGTGCCGCTATTTCATATGATTGGGTTTTTCTATGTTTTAAAATCTGTTGCGTTAAGTGAAACGGTGGTGGTAATGGGTCGTTTCGATGTTAAGAAGATGTTGAAGGCGGTGGAGGATTTTCGGGTACAGCGGTTGACGACGGCGCCGCCGCTGGTGGTGGCATTGCTTAAGGGTGGGCTGACCAAGGATTTTGATTTGAGTTCGTTGGAATGGGTCGGCTGCGGGGGAGCTCCGCTCGGAAAAGATGTGATCGCGGCGTTTACAGAGAAGTTTCCGAACGTCCTGCTTACTCAGGTGAGAAAAGATCTTCACCGTTGGTTTGAACAATTAATCATATGGTACTATTTCTTTACTAAAATGTAAGATTTTGAACCCTTTTTTTTTTAAATTAAAGAAAAAAAGAAAACTCATAAAGATAACTCTTGATCGAAATCTTAAATCGATTATTCGAAACTGAGATAAAAAAAAATACATATATCAAACATTTAAGATATCATATAAGATTTTCTATTGTCTGATAGGACTTTGAGTAAAAAGGTTTAGAATATTTATGATGTAGCAGAGGGCACATTAACTCTGCCTACGACTACAAGACAAACTTTGAGCAGTTTAGTGCAAATCCTTATCATCATCTTCATCATCATCATAGTAAATGCAATCACATGTGGGTGTGGGGCAGCAGATTCCTGTACCACGGGATCATTACTTTCTCTCCGTTTTTAAAAACGTTGCCGTCGGCCACCATGCCTACCTTGAGTCTCCCTGGGCTCGGACGCTTTGATGTGAGTCAGATGAGGTCCGGTCCGCTCTAATACTACTTATCACGAGGTCATTACTCTCTCTCTCATAAACGCGCTTATGAGAGTGTGCAACACACCCGCTTTTAAAGAGCTCAGGATCTCCCGTTCCTGTCCAATGTGAGATAGAAGCACTTTCCTCGTGACACCTGTACTTTGTTAGCAAGGGAGTGTGGGTGGCTGTCAGCCCATCTCCGGTTAACGCGGCATTTAGACTCAATGATTCTCATCAAATTATTATAACATATGGGATAGGAGAGGAGAGAGTGTTGTTGTTGTTGTTGTCGGCGTCCTCGTCGCCGTCGTCAAATTTAGGACTCAATGATTATTGGATGATTTATTAATTTAAATATAAAAAATTTAAATTTTTATTTTTTAAAATAAGAAGAGGGAGGTTTTTTTAATAGGGATTTAAACTTTAATAAAAGTGCATGCATTAACCATTAAATTACAAACACTAAATTAAGAGTTTTTTATAAAAAAAAAAATGAAGTTCATAGTATATGTGAAGATCCTATAATTATAAGATATGAATGTGGCTTTTAAAAAATCAATGGCAAGTTTCTTGGGTTGACTTTTGCATGCATGCAATGCTTTAGCCTTTTAGCATTTTACTCTTTGTTATTAGACGGTGCAACTATATGCCAAGACCAAACTTCATCCCTCGATCATTTTCCTGACACATGTAATGTAGGGTTATGGAATGACCGAAACAGCAGGGGCAGCTTTTGGATTTGTGGGTCGAGAAGCATGTCAGCGCTGGGGCTCAGTGGGGAAGCTCGCAGCTTATTGTGAAGCAAAGATTGTAGACCCTGACACCGGTGAAGCCTTGCCTCCATGCAAACAAGGAGAACTTTGGCTCAAAGGATCCTCCATAATGAAAGGTTAAAAATGAAGGAGTATTGGCTGTCAATTATCTTTCTAACATCAGCCTGAATATTTCAGACTTTTATTAGTTTGATAATTTTCAAGGCAAATTGGTTTGTCTGAAGCCATTTCATTTACTGCTTGCTGCAGGATACGCTGCAGACCCAGAGGCAACTGCAGCTACTTTGGTTGCAGATGGGTGGTTAAGAACCGGGGATCTGTGTTATATTGATGAAGAGGGTTTTATGTTTGTGGTGGATAGGCTTAAGGAACTGATCAAATACAAGGGTTATCAGGTAATCTCATCATGTTCTGAAAGTATATCGTTTAAGTCTGGTAAATCAAGCAATATTTACTTGTGCAGGTCGCTCCCGTAGAGCTGGAACAATTGCTTCAGTCCCACCCTCAGATATCTGATACTGCAGTGATACCGTAATTTCCCCTAGCCTCCATCCAGACTCACCTTTTTCCTTAACTAGTTTATCATTTGTGTCTTGTGAGGAAATTAGCTCACTAAAATGAATTGTGCTTAAACCTGGTTAGATACCCTGATGAAGAAGCTGGCCAGATTCCAATGGCATTTGTGGTAAGGCAACAACAGAGCAGCCTGACTGAAGCAGAAATCATGGATTTTGTTGCAAAACAGGTTCTCTTCCCTGGCACAACGTGGCACTTCCTCTTTTTGATCAACTAGGCTTAGGCTGCAGATTTTAACAGAAAACAAATAATTTTTAAATTTTATTGAATCCTGATGATGATTTTCAGGTTGCACCATACAAGAAAATAAGGCGGGTGGCATTCATTAATTCCATACCGAAGAATCCAGCAGGCAAAATATTGAGAAAGGAGCTGAGGAAGATTGCCACCCCAGCAGGAACTTCATCTAAGTTATGATCATCTCTCTTTAATCACAACATAAGTGGTTGTAGATTTACACACGTAAAATTCTTAAATAAAAGTAGAAATCCATAATTTCTCTGCATTTTTATTGAAATTGAACTGATCTTGTATCTGGATTAATAATTCACATGGAGCATTAATTTGTTGTACAAATTATCACTTAATTACATAGTATCACTTCATAAATATGTAAAGGTACAAAGTTCAAAAAATTTTCAAAATAAATATATTCAGAATTATGAATATTTATCTTTGAAGGTTCTCAATTTATAAATTTGTTTATGAACTCAATGGTGACATTTGGTTCATGGATAATTTATAAAATTTATACACTAACATTATATCAAATATAAATTCTGTTTTCGGTCGTAAACAGTTGCCTTTGGATCTGGATCTAGATTGTGACTCTCTTCAAGAAATAAAATAACTTGAATTTTGCCACTAAATTAAGCTAGCCATGGCCATTTTAACATCTCCAGACTAATCTTAATACATCCATAGCTGATAGCCCATTCTCAATCAGTATTTTTCATATGTACTGTTTTTTTTTTTTTGCTTGAAACTAAAATTAAAATGGTTGGATTTGAACAATTTAAGAAGTACTTAAAAGGAATAACATAAAATTGCTAACCAATTATAAAGGAATTTCTTTTTTGTTGAAAGTGAACTATAAAGGAAAATTATCCTATACACTTTCTACAAACTAGATTAAAGGGTTATTTATATACTACATAGTATATATTTAAAAATTTACTCTATTTGTCTCATTTTCTTTATTTCTATTTGACTTTTTTATCAAATGAACTCTATTTTGATTATAAAATCCTCAATTATGTTATATAAAATTAAAATTTCAACAATCTGTTTTGAAAGATTAAAATTCAAAATTTGCAAATCTTATTTTTTTTTAAAAAAAATATTTTATAATTTTTTTTAAAAAATAAATAGTGAAAAATGAATTTATTTGACTAGAAAAATCAATAAAAGACAAATATAATGGGACGAAATGAGTAATAAATTATTAAAATGATAAGTAAAAAAATGTCGTACATTTTTCTCTTGCCTATAGTATTTAAAAACTTTTCCACACAATGTATAGAATAATAATCCAAATATTAATTAATTAGTTATAAACTTGGTTATAAACTTGTTTAGTTTGGGCTTCAATCTTCTTCTTCATTCTTGAACCGGCCCAAAAGATAAGATCAGATTGGACCAAAAGGCCCAAAAAGAACTAAATTGGGCCTTTTACTTTCCTCCAAAAGAAAGTCCCAAAATCAACTCACCGGCGCTCTGCCGAGTTTAGTTAGCCAGTCCTGTCCAGACTCCCAGCTAATTAACTAAAGTCTCAACTGCCAACGTTTTCATTTCGTTTTCATCACTTTCTTCTTCGATCTGTTTCCAAACTTACTATTCAAAACCAGAGGTTTTGATTTTCAATTAAGAATTGGAAATTCTCCCCAATGTCCCTTTAAAAAAACCCAAAGAAATTCTATATTTTTGCTTTTTAAATAGTTAAAATTGTTCATGGATATTCTTTTTGCTCAGATCCAAGCGGACCTCCGTTCGAACGACGCCCTTCGTCAATCCGGCGCTCTCCTCTCCGCCCTCCAGCAATCCGCCGCCGGACGGGATATCTCCGTAATAGCCAAATCCGCCGTGGAAGAAATTGTCGCCGCCCCCGCCTCTGCCGTCTGCAAAAAGCTCGCCTTCGACCTAATCCGATCCACTCGCTTAACCGCCGACCTTTGGGATTCCGTCTCAATCGGCATACGTAATGACTTGCACTTCCCCGACCCCGAAGTCGTTGCTGCCGCAGTCTCTATCCTCGCCGCCATCCCTTCTTATTCACTCTCCAAACTCATCTCCGATGTGAACGCCGAGATCTCCGTTTGTTTCGATTCTCCTTCCGATAGCCTCCGGTTCTCCATCACCGAGACTCTAGGTTGTGTCCTCGCTAGGGACGACCTCGTAACGCTATGTGAAAACAATGTTAATCTTCTCGACAAGGTTTCAGCTTGGTGGGCCCGGATTGGGCTTAATATGTTGGATAGATCCGACACGGTTTCGAAGGTGGCATTTGAATCCGTTGGAAGATTATTTCAGGAATTTGACTCGAAAAGAATGAGCAGATTAGCTGGTGATAAGCTTGTAGATAGTGAAAATTCTTTAGCTATAAGGTCTAATTGGGTTTCTTCAATGGTTGACTTTGTTTGGAACAAACGCAGCGCTTTAATGGCAAGGTCGTTGATTTTGCCCGTTGAGAGCTTTCGAGCAACGGTTTTTCCGTTAGTTTATGCAGTAAAGGCGGTTGCTTCGGGGGGTTTGGAAGTGATAAGGAAGATTTCGAAGGGCACTAAAGTGAATGGGACTGTGGTGGATTCAAATGCGGAGAAATTAGTTGGGGTTTCAGATTTGGTTACTCATTTGGCTCCATTTTTGGCGTCTTCATTGGAACCGGCATTGATTTTTGAAGTTGGGATTAATATGTTGTACTTGGCTGATGTGCCTGGTGGGAAGCCGGAATGGGCTTCACAGTCAATTATTGCCATTTTGACACTTTGGGATAGACAGGAGTTTGCTTCTGCTAGAGAGAGTATTGTTCGAGCTGTTGTTACTAATCTTCATCTGCTTGATCTTCATATGCAGGTGCCTGTGCTTTGATTTATTTTTTGGTTTTCGCATAAGCTAAATAAGGTGTTTTTAATGTGTATGAGATAGGGCTGCGCATCATTGACATTGTGAGTTGATGGAGTTGTATTGGTGAGAATGTTTCAAGTTTACCTGTGCCATTGAGTGTATATTTGTTAGAGTTGCATGTTACTGGGGTAGTGAATAACTAAGCTGCATTGTTGAAGGATAGTTCTTCCTTCTGCTGAAATGACTTGTGTCTGTCCTTAGATGTTTCTTCATTGCCTTTTTTTTGTTGGAAGTCAGGCTTGTTATTTTGTGACTTTTAAGAGGTGACTTCTGAAATGTTTTTGCAGTGTTTGTGCTTGGTGCTGCTTACAAGACAATGTGTATGAACTGACATTTGTTAGTATTTAGTAATGCAAAATGGGTGTCAATTGCCTAGACTCAAAACTTTTAGGTTTAAACATGATGTAGAATTCTTCAATTTCCATTCAAAGGTTATAGTTTTGAACATGGCCTCATATGCTAAACTTTTGCTTGAAGGTTTCATTGTTCAAGAGACTGCTTCTTATGGTAAGAAACTTGAGAGCAGAATCAGACCGAATGCATGCTTTAGCCTGTATTTGTCGGACAGCTTTATGTGTTGATCTCTTTGCAAAAGAAAGCGTCCGAAGAGGTCAGAAACCTCTTGCAGGAACTGATATAGCGTCTCTTTTTGAGGATGCTAGAGTAAAAGATGATCTTCATAATGTAACTAGTAAAAGCTTGTTCAGAGAGGAGTTGGTGGCAACTCTTGTGGAAAGTTGCTTCCAGTTGTCTCTACCTTTACCTGAACAAAAGAACTCAGGTATGGAGAGCAGAGTGATCGGAGCCTTGGCATATGGAACAGGCTATGGTGCATTAAACTGGACAGAGACTGCTCTGGAAGTGGTGGAAGTTTGCAGGCCTTGTGTCAAATGGGATTGTGATCGAAGGACTTATGCAATCGATTGCTATTTGAAACTGCTTGTTCGGCTCTGCCATATTTACGACACTAGGGGAGGTGTGAAAAGAGTCAAAGATGGGGCTTCCCAAGATCAAATTTTAAATGAGACAAGATTACAGAACTTGCAACGTGATCTTGTAAAAGATCTACGTGAGGTATGTGAGATCTTATAGAAAAATTACATGCTACACTCTCTATCTTACAAGATTGCGTTGTGCAAATAGCTTTTTTCTTTTTCCAATATGGTGTTTAATATTCATGGTGGAGGGATAAGTTGAGAAACTAGAATTATAGTTTCCAAGGGTATTTAGGCCTAATTATTATTATTGTTGAGCTATGAACATCTTTGGTCTCTTGGTGCTTTTTCATCTTAAACCTTTGTCCAATCGGTAGGTGAATACCCCGAGAATATGTGCACGTCTTCTTTGGGCTATTTCAGAACACATAGACCTAGAAGGTCTGGATCCACTGCTTGCTGATGATCCTGAGGATCCTCTAAACATTATCGTGTCAAATATTCACAAGGTCCTCTTCAACGTAGATTCATCTGCAAATACAACAAATAGGCCTCAAGATGTTCAGGCAGTTCTTCTCTGTGCTCAGCGGCTGGGATCACGCCATGCTAGGGCTGGGCAGTTACTAACAAAGGAGCTTGAGGAGTTCAGAACCAATGGCTTGGCTGATTCTGTCAACAAGCATCAGTGCCGTATGATATTGCAGAGAATTAAATATGTTTCTAGCCACCCTGAAAGCAGGTGAGGATGATGTCAATAGCTCTAAATATTAACATGAGTCTGATGGTTTTTGATGCGCATAATAATGAAGCATAGCATAGAGGATATTTCTTTAGCATTAGTGCTTGACTGCCCCCTCAGACAGCATTGCTTTTTTTTAGTCTTTTGGGTTGAATTGGGATGGACTGCAAGTTTGGTGAAAGGCTTCATGTTTAGTGATAAGCAGTGATGGCTGTAGGCATAGATTTTTTGCTTATCAGCAGATGTTATTTCCATCTTTGTTGCAAGTACCTTGTCAAACTTAGTTCATCTGAAGTAGCTTCTTTCTTACATGTTTCCCCAGCCTTAAAATGAAAAGGAAAAATAGATCTTTGTACGTAATCTGCATTCTTATGAACCAAAGTGAGATCGAGCATGTTTCTTTTTCAGGTGGGCAGGGGTTAGTGAAGCCAGAGGAGATTACCCATTTAGCCACCATAAACTTACTGTTCAGTTTTATGAAGTATCAGCTGCCCAAGACAGAAAATTGGAAGGGTTGGTTCATAAGGCCATTTTGGAGCTTTGGAGGCCAGACCCTAGTGAATTAACACTGTTGCTAACAAAGGGAATTGACTCAACATCACTCAAGGTTCCTCCAACTGCTCATACTTTGACTGGTAGCAGTGATCCTTGCTACATTGAGGCCTATCATCTGGCAGATGCAGGAGATGGAAGGATCAGTCTGCATCTGAAGGTTCAAACTCTTTATTTATTTTTATTTTCTATGCTTCTTAAACCCTTCTCTGTAGTTGCTATGTGATG